GAACACAGAACTTGGGGTTTCTTGTTCCTAGTTTAGTAACGATCACAGAAATCATATGTTCAGTTTTAATCCAGCTTGGAAAAGCATTGTATCCTTGTTTGTAACATATAGTAAGATTACCATTCTAAGTTCACCATCGTGTTATTTTTTTTAATATGCACTGTCACTGAAGTAGTATTTGAAAGTTATGAACTATGCCTTTTTCTTGTTCCTTGGATTTTAAAATGCATTTGGTCATTGTTACAGGATTGTATCATCTGTAAGAGGCCAATGTTTTTGTTGTTTTCAACTAGCAAAGAAGACAGAAATGTATCTATAAAATAGGAAACTCTGAATAGGTCATTTTTAATTAAGCCAGAAGTCTCCAAGGGCAAGAAATAGCTTTAGCACTCACTGTATTCTGTACAACTAAGGACTATACTTAGAATATTCTCATTTCTATCTGCTGTTTGTTCACTTTTTATGTAGATGCTTAGGTGTGTGTAGAGCACAAGGGCTGGGTAGCACTGTCTGTGCTACTGTTGTGAACGTTCTCTGCTCTACCATCACTAGGAGGTGAGAACACACAAATAAGGCTTGTGGCAGACATCATCCATGGCCTTCTGTCACTCCCTCCTTGCTCTTTGCCTGTAGTCTGAGTATTCATTCCTCCTTGGAAGATGGGCTATCGCTCCTAATAAGTTTTATTGGTAGTGATAATCCTTTCTTGTAGCCTTGGACCCAAGTCTAAAGAATTAGAGGGGTTATTAGAGATCATTTCCTGAAAGGGTTTCCTCAAAGAAGCCAAACCTTGGTGACCATCACCATATGTGGATGTGGTGCCAGATAATGACTCCCAACAATGGATACAGTGTAATCATGGCCGTTACAGAAAGTAGAATAACCTGGCACCTAAATGATGTCGCAGAGCCACTAAACCAGCGTGACCTGCAGCCACTCCGTGTCTGTAGTGTGTTTTGTCTTTTCCTAAGAGATTATTTGTTTCTAAGCCAGTTGACTTAGGAATGTTCTGCTAGTAACAACAAGACAGTCTACCTGGTGTAGCATTACACTTTGTAGGAGTTATGCAATTCAGAAGTGGACTTGAGGTAAATCATTTATTTTGATGTGTTAATAGAGAGATTTATTATCTGTAACTTCATATGTAAACAGTCTGAAAATTGAAAATGAACTTTAAACAAGTGTGTATGCTTCCTTGAGCTCTCCTGTCATTGGCCTGTAAAGTTATTTTCCTGTGTGTATGGGTGTGCACATGTCTGTGGATGCCCAAGACAACTTCAAGTGTCATCCTTCAGATAATGTCTCCCTTGTTTGCTGAGATGGTGTCACCAACAGGCCTGGAGTTTATCAAGTAAACTAGGCTGGCCCAGCATGTCTCGGGAGCCACCTGTCTCCAGCTCCCCATTGCTTAGATTACAAGTGCCCTTGATTGTATTTTGTACATGGATTCTGGGGATGGAACCCGAGGCATCATGCATGTGCATCAGGAACTTTACCAACAGCCATCCACCACCATAGCTGGTTCACATGGTTCTGGGTATCAAACTCAGAGCCTGATGATGATGGTCAGGCAGGCACTTGACCAACTGAGGCCTTGTTTTATTGTTTGTTTTGAGATACAAGTGTTTTCGTTGTAGCCCTGACAGGCCTTGAACTCATTGTGATCCTCCTGCCTTAATCTCCCAAGTGTGGGAATACAGATGTGAGCCACCATGACCAGCTTGACTTGTGAAATTAACTTTTGGAAACAGACATCAGCTCTACTTCCATTTTCTAATACATTAAGTTTTGTTTGGGATACAAACTTGCACATAGATCACTGCTTACATTTGGCAATATGTGATGTGATGTAAGGATCTAATTTTGTTTACTTTCAGATCATTATCCTGGTAACCCATAACTTTTGAACAATTTATCCGTTGTACAGAATACCACATTATTTATATATAAGACTCATATATCTCCTATTTTGTCGCTTAGCATGCCCCACTCCCCATGTCTTTGTATAATTCTGAGTATGCTATGTAACAAAAATTTAAAGTCTGGTAGGTGGTTTAGTTTGGTATTGGAACAAAAAGTTGGTAGTATATTTGTTGAGATGGTATCTACAGCAAGGCATGGTGGTGTGTGCCTGTAATTCCAGCACTTGGAAGATAGAGGCAGGACAAGAGGTTCAGGCCAGCCTGGAGTAGATAGCCACATGCACAGTTTCCCACAATTGTTGCATAACTTGATGACACAATACACATTTGTGTGTGTGTAGTGGTGTGTGCATGTGGAGGTCCCAGGTGGATACTTGGTGTCTCTCCTTCATCACTACTTTATTTTCTGAGACAAGGGCTCACTGGACCTGAAGCTTATAGATGTGTGTCTAATTGGCTGGCCAGTGAGCTTAAGGATCCACCTGTCTCTACTCACAACCCCCATGATGGGTTACAGGCATGTATCATCATGCCCAGCCTTTTTGTTTTGTTTTTGTTTTTCAAAGCAGGGTTTCTCTGTGTAACATTCCTGGATGCCCTGGAACTCGCTTTGTAGACCAGGCTAGCCTCAAACTCACAGATATCCGCCTGTCTCTGCTTCCTGAGTGCTGGGATTAAAGGTGTGTGCCACTGCCGCCTGGCTTCCATGCCCAGCTTTTTACATGAATTTCAGAGATGAGCACCCAGGTCCTCCTGCTTGAGACCACTTAACTGACTGAGCCACCTCCTCAACCCACAGTACACATTTAAAGAAAAAGCAAAGATACCCTACCACCTGGACCGTGGCGTTTGAGCCTTGGATTTGCCCTTTCTTTGTTCCTGTCATCTCTCACTCTACCTAATTGTGATCCAACTCTAGCCAGGAAGTCATATGACTGCCCCCAAAAAAATTATGACAAGCTTTATAGAATGCCGCTTAAACAAAATGAAATGTACAAGGAAATTTCACCACATGGATAACTATGAAAAATAAATTGGGTGGAAGAGATATCTCAGTATCTAAGCCACTTGCCCTTCAAGTAGAACAGAGTTCAAGTCCTCAGAACCCATACAAATGCAAGGAGCATGCGGTGGTCCACCTGTAAGGCAGAGATGAGATCCACAGCAGGTTGGCTAGTCAAAATAGTTTAGAGAGCTCTGGATTTGATTGAGAGACCCTGCCTCAATGAATAATGTGGGAGAGTGATCACAGATGATTCCAGACATCAATTTCTGGATTACACATGCACACTAACCCAAATGTGCAACTGCAAACATGGAAACATACATGCTCACACATGAAAGTAAAAAAAAATCCATCCATTGGATCTTTTAAAAAGTTCATTTATTTTATTTGTATGTGTGTGCACACTTGAGTGTATATATGTGCAACCACATGGACAGAAGCCTGTGGAAAGCAGATTTTCGGGTCCTTTGGAACTGGAGTCACACGTTGTTAACTACCACGTGATTGCTGGGCATTGAACTGCTCTGTTAACAGCTGAGCATCTCCCCAGCCCCCTCTGCTGGATTTAAAGTTTATGATGCTTGTGAAAATTATGGGCTAACCAACGTAGGCTTGTTGCCACCACCTGAAGCTGGAGATGGCATAGATGCATTAACAGTGTGGACACAGGATTACTGAGCAGGTGAAGCACTTTAGGAAAGAGTGTATGATAACAGACAGGCACTAAAGAACCTGAACTGGGGTCTTACAAAGGCTGTTCCTTTCTAGTCAGCCTTTTAGAGAAACACATTCAAGGTTCTTGGGCAATAGCTCAGTTGATGAAGTACTTGCCATACAAACACGAATCTGAGTTTGTTCCCAGTACCTCCTAGGGCTGATGAGATAGGATCCCTGGAGTTCACTAGCCTGCCAGCAAATTGGTGAGCTCTAGTCAGAGACCCTGTCTCAAAAAATAAGGTGGAGAGTAACTTGGGGAAATACCTAACATCAGCCTCCAGCCTGCATACACATGTGCGTGCATGCAAACATTTTCATATACATATGCAATTTTTTAATTTTTTTTTTTGTGTCTGAACCATGTATGCAGGAGCCCTCAGAGGTCAGAAGAGGAGTCAGATCACCTAAAACCAGAGTTACAGATGACTGTGAGCCATGTGGGTGCTGCGAACTGAACTTGGTTCCTCTAGAAGAGGAACCAGTGCTCCTAACAGAGCTGTCTATCCAGCCCCACATATTAAAAACAACAAAAAACAGCCAGGCGGTGGTGACGCACGCCTTTAATCCCAGCACTCGGGAGGCAGAGGCAGATGAATCTCTGTGAGGCCAGCCTGGTCTACAGAGGGAGATCCAGGACAGGCACCAAAACTACGCAGAGAAACCCTGTCTGGGGGGAAAAAAAAAAACCCACGAGGCACACATTCTAATGTGAAATTGTTGAAAACTGTATCTGGAATGGGGAAAAGTAGATAGGAATATGGATGAAGCAAATTCTCATAAGTAGTTCTGTTGCTTTTATTTATGTGCATGGGTGCTCTGTCCGTGCACCATATACATTCTCTGTGCCTGCAGAGCCGGAAGGAGTTGCAGACAGTTGTGAGCTGCCATGTGGTTGCTGGAATGGGATGCAGGTCCTCTGGAAGAGCAGACAGTGCTCTTAACTGCTGAGCCATTTCTCCAGCCTCCTGGAGTTTTGTTGTTGTTGTTTGGTTGGTTTTTTTTTTGGTTTTTTTTTGGTTTTTTTTTTTTTTAGACAACTCACAAAATATCCCATTTCACTCTGGAACTTAGAATGTGAGAGACCTTCCTACCTGCCTCCCAAGTATTATGATATAGGCATATGTCACCATGTACAACTCTACATGGTACATGGGAAAAAAGCAAGTTGCTGAACAGTATATTCTTATTCTGAACCATTTCCATATAGACACGTGCATAAGAACAGAGGAGTTGGATGAGATGAGTGTTGTCAGGGAGATGAAGATGAACTTGATGTTTTCATACTGTTGGAGGCTTTACAATTCATATCTAACTTAAAATGTGGGGAAAATCATGAACAAGATAAAACTTTGATATAACTTAAAATCTAAAACCACTTTATTATATAAGCAGCCAATTGGAGGGAGGGATGGAGGGAAGGACACACAGAGACAGAGAGCAGTGTCTAAAGAGATCAAGTAGAAAAATACATAGAAAGGCTGAGAAAACAGGGACGAGAGAAAAATGAAAAGAGAGGTAGGTAGAGTGAGAGAGTGTCCAGGCATAATGATCCTCCAAATGTCACCTTTGGTTGGTCACATTTCACAGGTCACTGGAGCTCCACCCCTCCCCTTTATTTTGGCAATTATAGCATTGGGAATTCCCTCCCCCACAACATAAAAACCCCAGCTGCACAATCAGTGGTGAGCTTTATCAAGGAATTGCTTGGCCTTTCTTGGTAGACTAAGAACTGAGTGGTTATTCATCTTTATGTCTTATGAAGGAAGCATCTACCTCCTAAGAGTCTGGGGTATTTTTTTTGTTTGTTTGAGGTAGTCTCTATGTAGCCTAGGCTGGCCTCAAGCTCATGGAGCTGAAAATGATCCTGAACTCATGATCCTCCTGGCTCCACCTCCCAAATGCAGAGATGACAAGATTGTACCACTATGTCTGGTTTATGGAGTTCTACTGGGCAAGCAAGGTACCAACTGAGCTACATTCCCCTGCCCAGCCTGCTTGTTTAATGAAGATACTAGTTTCCATTCTGATGCCTCAAATCATATCTGCATATTTTTCAAATCCATTGGGAAAAGATCCTATCACAGAGACTGAATAAGAAAAGCCATCTTAAGGGGAGTTGTTTAGGAACTCTTGGGGTGGTCATGGCTTTGTGGATTTGGGGTAGGTGAACCTCATAGCACTGGGGTCCTTGAGAAAAGGCCAACGCAGGGGGCTACACTCTGAGAAAGGAGACCAGATCCTCTCTTTAAACCTGAAAGGTTAGCCAAGTTAATTCCAGTCATGTCCCACGTGTGTTGTTCCAATTTATGGCAGTGTGAGGCGTCTCAGCAAGATTTGGTGGGCACAGGGCAAATTCATGATATGCCATGCAAGAATCAATTCTGGTTTCTCAGAAGAGAAGTCAGAAAGGAGATGGGCCTCGCAGCGTGAGCATCCCTGAGGGACACTATGGTGGGGCAAAAGCAGAGTCCAGTCCCAAAGCTTGTTTCTCCATCTTTATTGAAGCTGGGTCCTCCTGCCCACAGCAGAGGGGCAGGGTGGAAACCGCTGGGGACTAGGAGGGATGGGGATGGTGCCCTCCCAGCCCACCCTGCCCTGGCTTTTTCTGAAGTTCATGTCCCAGAAGACATGGGAAGAGCATTTAAAAATTGGACAGAGAGGCCACTGCTGAGCAATCAGGACCCATGCCTTCCTACTCCACCTCACCTGGTCAGGCTAAGTTCTGACCATCACCACCCCAGCTCTTCTCCCACCCATGGACTACCCACCCAGCACCTAGCAGCCTGCATGTTAGCTCTTGGGCCCCAAGGGCATATCTACACTACAACAAAGGATCTAGGTCTAAAAGGGAATGCAGGGTGGGTGGAAATCTCACTTCTTTAGCTCCCAGTCACTCTGGCCCAGAATTCAGGGAGGGTGGGAGGGGCTTGCATGAGCCACACCTCAGATGCCAACAGTCCAGGCTGTGCAAGGGCGCTGTGAGCTCCGGTCCGTGTGATGCCTTAAGTGGACAACCACTGTGTAAGCCATCAATCCCTCTGTAAGCCACGGACCCAGCTGTGGCAGAAACACTACCTGCTTCTACTGCAGGGTGATTACAGAAGCAGAGTTAAGAGGCTTGCAGAGGATGTAGGGCCCTTATTATAAGCTGAGGGGGAAGGTTCCTGGACCCACCCCAGGGTTGTGAAAGGCTGAGCACAGGGCTCCGCAGCCACCTGCTGCAGCGGAGGGCGCTGCTAGGGAACTAGTCTGGAGACTAGGTCTGGAGGAGCCCACAGGAGGCACTCCAAAGACGTCCATGTGTGCCACTTGCAGCCACTAGAGAACCAACAAGCTTAGAGGGGATACCAATACCCAAACCCTCCTTGTAGCCAGTGCTCCACAGACCCGTGTTTAGGGGTTGGAGTAAGGATTTTCAAATAAGGCTTCCAACTCCACGGGGACCTAGCCAACATTTGCAACCTGGCTACCCATTTGGTATCTTGCTTTTTTAACTCCTCACCACAGTCTTCCCGCCATACAAAAGATGAAAATAAATACCCACAGTTGACAGAACAAAAGCTTTACCTGTTCGCACCTTCGTCCCCCTCCCCCGATTCTAGGGAGGCTCCTGCAGCGAACCATGTTCTTAAAACTTACTGGACACACTCAAGTGACCGGAAGACGGTCCCCGAATCTCCTAGGGAGAATGGGAAGAAGCCAAACCCACCCAGAAACCCAGATGCAGAGGAGAGCAGCCGGATGATCTCTCTTGCCCTCTCCCGATGCTAAAAGCTTCCCTTCGCTGCCAGAAAGCCGGGTGACAGACTCCTAAGCTGGGCTCTACGGGCCACCTGAATCCCTGAATCGGAATCCGTGATGGACGAATTGGCCTTGCCCGCTATCCCTGAAGCAAAGATCCAGGGATGCGGCACTTTTGATCAGGGTGGCGGCCCGTGCGCGCCCAAGCGCGAGATCTGAAGCTCGGGGCGATGAAGCCCAGGGGCACCCAAAATTGGGCATTCTCAGCCCGCCGAGGGAGCGGGGAAGCGCCGCGCGCTTCGACCAGCCTCACAGGACGCTCTCCTCGTAGGCGCCCGAGGGCCCAGCGAACACGGCGGGATCGGAACCGAAGCTGGTTCCGCCGGCGAACTCGAGCAGCGTTCCGGACCCGGAGCCCGAGCCCGGTGGCGGCGGAGGCGGCGTTGCCTTGGCAGGTGCCGGGGCCTTAGCGGCGGTGTTCTGCGCCTGCGCGCCCGCCTGCCCGCGGTGCGTCTTCATGTGAGTGAGCAGGTGCGAGCTCTGCGAGAAGCGCCGGCCGCAGTTGGCGCAGGCGTACGGCCGCTCCCCCGTATGCGTGCGCTGGTGAGTCACGAGCACCGATCGCTGAGAGAACCGCTTGCCGCACTCTGGGCAGGGAAAGGGCCGCTCGCCGGTGTGGCCGCGCCGGTGCTTGGCGAGGTTGGAGCGCTGCGCGAAGCCGCGGCCGCAGTCGGCGCAGCGGAACGGCTTCTCGCCCGTGTGCGTGCGGCGGTGGCGCTTGAAGTCCGAGCTGTGGCCGAAGCCCTTGCCGCAGTCAGGGCAGCGGTGCGGCTTCTCCTCGGCGTGCGCCCACTGGTGCCGCGTCAGCGCCGCGCTCTGCCCGAAGCGCCGGCCGCACTCGCCGCAGGCATAGGGCCGCTCGCCGGTGTGCGCCCGCCCGTGCGCCGTGAGGTGGGCGCGCCGGCTGAAGCCCGCGCCGCACACGCCGCACACGAACGGCTTCTCGCCCGTGTGGCCGCGCACGTGCGCCGCAAGGTGCGAGCCGCGGGCGAAGCGAGCGCCGCACTCCGGGCACGGGAAGGGCCGCTCGCCCGTGTGCGTGCGCCGGTGGCGCGCCAGGTGCGAGCCGTAGACGAAGCTTTTGCCGCAGTCGGCGCAGCGGTGCGGCCGTTCGCCCGCATGGTAGCGCTGGTGCTTGGCCAGCGCCGCGCGCCGCCCGAACGTCTTGCCGCAGTCGGAGCAGATCCACGGGCTCTCCTCCTCCGCCAGCGCGGCGGGCGCCGGCTCCGCCAGCAGCGACCCGACGGCGGGCGCGAACGCGCGCAGGCCACCATCCGCCCCGACTCCGGAGCCCGCGCTGCGGCGAAACGGGTCACAAGCCAACCCCGCGCCCTCCAGAGCCAGCGGGGCGCCCAGGGGGGCGGGGAGATGGCGCCCATCAGCCTGCAGCCGTTCAGAGAACTCGGGGAACCCCAGTATGGGGAAGCCGTCCGGATGCAGCCAAGACTTGGGGTGCATGGGAAAATGGAAGCCGAGCGGGTGCGAGGAAGGCCCTTCGCCCCCGCTCAGGCCATTGCCCATCTCACGGAACCGTCTGTCTGGCTCAGGGTCCTTCTTGCTGTCGGGGACAGTCGCCTCTGCCGCCGCAGCTACCACCTCGTCCTCTCTGGCTTCAGCCTGGGTGTCTCCATCTGCCACCCCAGGCACGGGCTCTTCGATCTCCTCGGGCCTGGCCTCCAGTTCCTCCGGCTCCGCTGTGGCTACAGATGCGACTGCCATCTCCATCTCGTGGGGGGCCATCCCCGTGCCATCGCCGCTGCTGGGTTCCGTGCAGCCGCCGCGCCGGTGCCGCTGGAAGTCAGCGCGCAGGCGGAAAGCCTGGCCGCAGTCCGGGCAGCAGTGAGGACGATCAGCGGTGTGCACAGCCTGGTGGCGGGCGAGCGCTGAGCTCTGGCTGAAGCTCCGGCCGCAGTGGAGGCACGGGTAGGGCCTCTCGCCCGTGTGCGTGCGCTGGTGGGTCACCAAGTAGGAGCGCCGCCCGAAGCCCGCACCGCAGAAGACGCAGCGGTAGGGCCGCTCGCCCGTGTGGATGCGCCGGTGTGTCACCAAGTGCGACTTGTAAACGAAGCGTTTGCCGCAGTCCGGGCACGGGAAGGGCTTCTCGCCGGTGTGAGTGCGCTGGTGGATGGCCAGGTGTGAACGGTACACAAAGCCCTTGCCACACTCCTCGCAGCCGAAGGGCTTGACGGCCGCGTGGTAACGCTGGTGCTTGGCCAGGCGCGAACGGTGCGGGAATACTTTGCCGCACACATCGCAAGTGGTCTCTGGATGTCCGATAGGAACAGCCACTGCGGGAAATGCCCAGGGAGCCAGAAAGTTCTCCCCAGGTTCCCGGCTGGACAGAAAATGTTTAGCCTCAACCTCCTCGGCCAGGATCCCGAGGCTGCCTGGATTGGGTATCCAACCCTCTGAAGTCTGAGCCGAATCTGAGTCATCAGGGCCCCAAGTCCCAGGCACGTCCCCCACACCATAGGCAGCAGACCACAGCCCTGGGGGCTCGTTCTCTTCCTCTGCCATCTCAGCAAGGAAGTCCTCATCATCTTCCTCTTCATGGTCCTCTATGTCATCGTTCCAGAACCAGGCTCCTGAAAGGTGAAAAGACAAGAGGATGATGGGACAGGAGCTTAGCAAGGACATTGCCCTAAAATCTATGGAACAGACCTGCTTTGGTCAAGTGTGAGGTGGTGCATGCCATAGCCAATACTGGCCAGCTCCAAGGCAGGAAAGCCGCTGGTTTCCCCCCAGTTAAGGACTTCATGGAGGCCCAACATACACACCTGGCCAAGAAAGCCAGGGTCCCTCTAGAACTTGCCACTCTGTGGAGGACGGGAGACCGCATAGTGGGTAGTGTATCAACAGGTTCTTGTGCACAGAAAAAGGCACTGGGGTGAAACCCGGGGCACTGCAGTCCCCAGGCACCCAGCATGGTACATCCAGCCATGTGCTCTGCCTGAAGGACCCGCCTCTGTGAAGTCTACTCCTCAGCATTTCTCCCTCTCCTTGCCTGTACCAGTGGCCAGGGAGTTCTCGTCTACTCTAGTTAGCAGACACAGGACCGGCTAGCCAGGGAAGAGCCTGTGAGCTCTCGCTTTTAAGAGGCCCCAGGAGCTGAGCCCGTGGGGTCTTGACTTCCTTTTCCACTGTGAGGTCACCCCCGGCTCTGCTTTTCTGAACTCTGCATTTGGGAAACTCTAGGCCAGCTGAGACTGTCTGTGTACTGTGAGCACCCCTGGGACTTTCTGAAACTGACCCCTTCCACTGAGATGCACCCTGACTCATTCTTCTGCCCATCCTGGGGATTGTGTGGGCTCTGGAATCAAGTCTGTAAGGCCTCCTTGTTCAGGAAATGAGCATGTAGACGGTGCCACCATGGTACACCCAGGAGACATGGGGACACTGCCTGGACCACAGTGCTCCCAGGTGTTCAGGGCATCTATGTGCCTCTCTTGGTCATCATGCCCACCTTAGCTCTCAGCAGCTGGAGGGCTGAGCTCCCACCTACTTGATTCTGAGGGCAAAGGTCTGGCCCATTTAGACTGCCAGTGGCCTGGGTGAGCCTGGACCACAGAAGCCAGTGTCTGGGTATGGTGATAATTTTATTTGTGCTGAAATGTGATTTTATTTGTATGTTACTAAATAAAGTTGCCTGGGGGGGTCAGAGCTAATAGCAAGCCACTTGGCAGAAGTCTGGCAGTGGTAGCACACACCCTTAATCCCAATCACGTGACAGGCAGATCTCTGTGTGTCCAAGGATACAACCAGCATGGAGACACACGCCTTTAATCTCAATACCAACCATAGAGACCTGGAGGTCTGTATAAACAGGCAATGATGAGGAGGTCATGTGGTTAGGTTTACAACCAATGAGAAGGCAGAACAGAAAGTCAATACACAGGAAGTAGGTCTCTTTCTCAGGGGAAGGACGGCAGCGGGTGGTAAGAAGGTGATCTCGGTCTCAGCTCTCAGCTGCTGCTCTCCGACCTCTGGGGCTTTTAACTCTGCATTTGGCTCTGTGTTTCTTATTTAATAAAACCGTTCAGAATTACATCTACATCTGGGAGAGCCTGGACCACAGAAGCCGGGGTATGGATCAGAAAGTCTCAAAAACCAGAGCTGGCTTCTCATGTCAAGTCCTGCACCCTATCATCCCTAGTTCTGCATATGAGATGTCAGTTCACAGGGGGAAACAGCATAGTGCCACGTACATGAAGCCAGAGAGAACTGTGAGGGCCTAACGTGCTGCTGTTCATACAAAAAGATAAGAAAATAGGTCACTTTATTTTTGCTTACTCTGTAACACTGTTTCCCACGATTCTAGTAAATGTATAATTTAGAAGTTTTAGATGGAAAAATTGCTTAAGCTGAGTTTACCTCCAGCTGCCAACATGGCCACCAGGGTGACAAGAAGTGTCAGAAAGAGGCCCTGTTGCTGGCTGGATGCCCTTCTTTGTTCAGCTAGAACTTCCCAAACCTGGGAAGGCAGGAGCAGCCCTAGGGCAGGGAGAAGCTGGCTGACAATCAGCAAGACATTCCCTAGGCTCTGGTGAGAGGCTTAAGTGGTTTTTAACTAGAGCCCTGTAAGTCAGGGGCAGCTGATGCTGAAGAGCAAATACAATCCCCTGGATCTCTGAGCCAGCCTGTGACTCTCCAGGGTCTAGTTCTGCCAGGAGCTGAGAGAGTAGGCTGGCACTTGCCCAGAGTCTGGGACCAGCAGGACCATCTGCCGTCTTAACGGACTAGCCCCTGCACCTGACTCCACCACACGAAGCTCTGTAGGGCGGACAATCCTGAAAGAGGCCTGCGGGATCTCACTGCTACCTCTGGAGTTGGCATGACCACTGCTCAACAAGCACAAGACCTGTGCTAAGCTCAGTGATGTGATGGAGGCCAACACCGACGCACGGGGCAGAACCAACCCCTTAGTCCTGGAGAAGTCAGCTGGCTCCATCCCAAGGTGAGACCTTAACGTCACTGGGCTTCCGGGAGAGAACCCCAAGGGAGACCAGCTTTGGTTCCTCATTCCCTGCTTCAAGGCGTTTGCTCCAAGTTTAGAGGGCATAGCTGTGGAGTGTGCCGTCTCAGGGAATAGCCACTCCACTGGCAGACTTGACCCAGAGCTGAAGTCTCTGTTAGTCTCAATCAGGCCTGCTGTGAGTCTTGACTCTCAAACCTGGAGGGTGTGGTGTGTTCCTTAACAGCTAGAAGGCAGTGGGAGGGGCAGCAATTCAACAGGTGACCCAGAGGGCCAAACCCAGACTCACAGGGAATAAAGTCAGGACAGGGGCTGCCTTGCACCTCACGTTTCCTGCAGAAGTCTGACCATGGGTGAAGGGGGATTAAGTAGGCCTCCAGGAAGAGGCAGGGACTCAAGGCCAACTGTCTAGCCAAATTACACAGCATTGCCACAGGGACATCTATACAACCCATGTCCTGAGCTGGAGACACCCGGACTCTGGTGAAACAGGTTTCCTGCTCACCACAGGGAAAGATGAGAGGAGCTGATGGAGGGGGAGCATGAACAAAGGATTCTGAGGGCCAAGGTAGTAAGTTAAAACCCTCAGGACCGGGCTGTCACCAGTTCCCATTTCTACAAATATCGCTCTTTATCATAGTGGCTATTGGTGTGAGTCCTAGAGGTTTGTCCCTTTGAAGCATAATACTGGGAATTTATAAGCTCAAAACTAGCTTATTCCACTGCGCTCCACCCTAGAGGATCTCCCATAGCTGATGTCCCCAATCTGCTGGATTCCCCAAGGGCTGCATGGGCCAAGCTGGGCCCTTTAACCAGGATCCTTTACTCCAGAGACCTGAGCAGGCCAGTCCCCTCCAAGGCTACAGGCTGGGGCGCTGGCTGTCTTGGAGGCAACCTGTCAGCAGTTGTAGAGAACCAGGGATCCTGACAAGGCATGGCTGGCACAGAGGTCCCCAGTCAAGATGCCATTTTCTTTCCATTGACAACCTGAGGTCCCCAAGTAATATCTGTACCTGTCTTCATGCTCCCCCATCATCTCCTCCACCTAGACACAAAACTGAAGATGAGCTCAGAGTTCCTTCCCTTTTTGGGGAGAGCCCCCAAGGAAGGAGGCATACCAAAAGGAAGTGCCAAGTCTATGGATGTTGGCAGCCTCAGTGAGGGCTTCCAGGGAGGTGTCTGAACTGCAGCCTGGGAAAGCAGCCAGCTTCTACACTGGCATCTGTCCTCTAAGCCAAGCTCTGTCCATGCTAACAGGTCTGGAAACAGGGGCCCTTCTCTTGGGATGGGCACTGGGCTGCCCCCATTGCTGGTGAATGGCCCTATAAAAGACTAGCAACTCTTTGGCCTTGATATCTTCATGGGTGATGTATGGATTCAACACCAAGGCCCGAGTATTAAGAGGAGCCAAGGCCTGCCTTTGTCACAGGGATTTAGGAGGAGTAAGCATTCCCTCATCCCATCAGAGCCTCCAGCACTTGAATACCTATCAGCCCCTTTGCCCCAGATGCTAAGAAGTCAGCCTCTCTGCCAGATGTTCCCTTACTTCTCTTATACCTGCACTAGGCCCAGGGACCTAGGGAACGACAGGGCTAAGCCCCTTGTGCCCTGGCTAGGACTAGAGGACTGTACTACCCAGGTTTCCTCTAGGACATAGCTAAGTGAAACTCCACCAAGAGACCCTCGAAGGTCCCCAGTTGTTCACAGCTGTGTGCCAGCCCCTGCCTGCTAGGAGTGTTCATGCACTGCCCCTGGCTGAGAGACCTCTCCCCTTGTCACTCTCCCTGTCCTGTGCTCATCTCTGCGTAGCTGAACTACTAGGTGACTGACAGCTGCCGTGTGTCCCCAGATGGATGCAACTGTCCGCATGCTGGCAGTATGCACTTTGAGATCACTTGGGGCTCCAGACCCCTGGCTGTGCTTACTTACTCAGTGCCTCTCAAACTACATCGCCATCTGTTAAACATCAGTGTTTAAGCTGGTTCAGTTCTCGGTGTTGTGTTTCCTTTCTGTCCTTCACTTTCAGAAAAGGGGCTGGGAAGGTGGCTTGGTTAGCACTTGCCACACAAGTACAAACACCTGAGTTCCATTCCCAGCACCCATGTGAGAAGCCTGATGTGATAGTGTGTGCTTGTAATCCAAGAATAGGGAAAGCAAAGTTGGACAGACTCCTGGGACTTGCTGGCCAGCCAGCCTAATCATCAAGCCCCAGACTGCAGTGAGAAACCAAGTCTCAACCAGGGGACAGCTCCTGTGTTGACTTCTGGCCTCCGTGCACACCTGTCCACACATACCAAGAAAGGAAAGGGGGTAGAGACTGCAGCAGAGGGAGTGGGGACTGCCCCCGCAGGGCCAGGCACTGCTCTGGCCAGCACAGCTTCTGGAGTGTGCCCAAAAATCGAGTGTTAGGGGAGGGATCAGGGAGGACCCGTCTCAGAGCAAAAGGCCAGGCGCATGCAGACACCGAGAACCAGGGCAGTAGCCACTCGGGGCATGCCTTCTCCAGTGTGTTCTCTGCTTCTGTACAGAATGGAGGCAGGAAACGGGGTTAAGCCAGGGGCAGGGATCTCTCCAGGACCACATGGCGTGTTGATAAGGACCCAGGACCCTGGGGTAGAGGCTGGGTCAGAAGGACACTGTGGAGTGAAGAGTTGAAGGTGGTGGTCAGGGTTGCTGGGATACCTAGAGCACAGGCTGAAGGGAAAGTGGGACTCTGAGTAATCATATAGAAGATGGCAACACCTGGGTGAAGGAATGTGGCCGGGAGCCCACATATCGTGTACAGCTGAACTTAACAAGGGGCAGAGGAGAGGAAATTAGTGTCTTGTCTTACAAGACTAATTTAGAAGTCCAGATGGCCAGCCTTGGGACAGTTAGTGTCTGTCCTGCCAGACTCAAGCACTCTCAGTTCCCAGCTGCCACTGCTGGGCAGAGACGAAGGAAAGGCACGCAGACTGAGAAGGAAGGCAGACACTCAAGCACTGGCTGCCCTCAGAAGGAGGACCTGAGGGCTTCGCTCCGCCAGAGCCCCTCCCTGACCCTGCCATCTGTATCCCCTCCTGGCAGTCGTGTGACACATCAAAGACACGCTCTGGGGGGCTGGGGAGATAGCTCAGTGCGCCAAGTGTTTGCCATGCAGGTATGACAACCTGGGTTGAAATCCCTGGAGCCAAGGAAAAGCCAGGCACAGTAGCATGAGTCAAACCCAGGACCCTATGAGGGACAAAAGAATCCCTGAAAACTCACAAGCCAGCTAGCGGGACTTTGCAGTGTTGGGTAATAAAGGCACCCCTTCTCAAACAAGGTAGAACTTGAGGACTGATGCCCAAGACCGTCCTCTGACCTCACACATAAACGGTTTTTAGTTTGTTTGCTTGTTTGATTTTTTTTTTTTTTCTTGAGACAGGGCCTCACTATGTAGCCCTGGCTGGCATCAAACTCAAACCCATTTGCCTGCCTTTGCTTCCTGAGTCCTGGGCTTAAGATAAAATGTTTTAGAAGATGTTCATGGGTCCTGTACCAACTGATAGTCCGCAGGCAGGGCCAGGCTGAGAGACATCTCAGGCCACCCGCCTCAACACCATGGCTTGTCACAGAAGGCACAGAGCCACTGGCCTAGTTAACCAGTCCTCTCAAAGAGATTTCAAACCCCATCCAGGTACACAGCCCCATAGCACCTGTCATGTGGTGTCACCTGCACGGAAAAGGACCAGGCTCTTTCCCAGGACCCTTCAAGAGAATAGAACATGAGGGCACATCTTGAACCTGCACTCAAGAGGCTGGCCAGTGTTGGCCTGTTCTCTCTAGGTGGTTTTTCTGAATGTGTGAATGAATGAAACACACCTCCCACTTGGGTCCTCAAGAAACACTCGTCTGAAAGGAGGCTGAAGAGTTCTTACTGCCCCTCGCTGAACTGCTGTGAGGGCTCACAGGCATGAGTGAGGGTTGCTGTCTTCTCATTTTAATATACATCTATGATAACTCCAGATTAGTTCACTGTTCCACCCTGAGCTAACAACACCCCAATCCCAAGAGGGACACCTCCAGGCAAGGGCCTCCGTCTCTCCAAAGTCCTAGTGAGACTCAGACCCCACAGCATATTCAATGTGACTAGGAGCCCAGCATGCTCAGGCTGGAATCTATGGGTTTAGTTCATTCTCCATATGAATGAAGTGGGGCTCGGGGAGTTGAACAGGCAGAGCCTGAGCCAGTGTGGGGCACCCAGAGAAGTCCACATTTCAATGTATGGAAATTTTCATTTTCCATACACATCACCTCAGAACTCCCCCGGAACCTTTAAACCGCTCACACAGGTCAGAACCTGAAGACCTGAGTTAAATCCCAAACTCGCACATATAAAAACAAAACAAAACTGGCAGGACACTCATTGGAGGGGCAGAGATGGAGCTCCGGAGGGTGAGGTCCCAGAGCTCACTGGCCAGCCAGCCTACTCAATTGGTGAGCCTCGGATAGCAGTAATACCCTGTCTCAAAAAACAAGCTGGATGGCTCTGGAGGAAGTGGACGGACTGAGGGACTTCTACCTTATGAAGAAATGGCCAAATGGGTGGGGAAGCCAGAAAACTGGTCAGTCTGTGTGTGGAAAGCCACACTGACAGTCTGGTAGGTTTCTGTGCCAGCTTGACAAGTCCCCTCACTTATAGAAAAGTGAAAACAAAACGAAAAACCTCACAGATTCCAAGATGGGAACAACAGTAACCACCTAAGGTTCACTTAAGGTCTATCCCCTGGACCTCGGTGAAGCAGGACCATGAAGACTCAGGAGGTGACAGCAGGGGCCAGCACACAGCAGCCTCCCTCACAGCTACTCCGGACCCCAAAACATGAGCATTAGCATCATCAGGGACGCAGAGGGACCAGGTACAGGTCTGCAGAGGGCTTGCCTGGGTAAAAGTTCAAGTAGGACACGGCTCTGAGCAATCACGCTAGCAGAATCCCCTCAAGACTCGTCTCTCACTCACCCGTGTAGACGCCGGTGACAATGTCTCCCTCCTCAGGATGGGGGCTGTCTGGGACCCAAGGTTCTTCTCCTTGTTCAAGGTGGAAAATCAGATCCGGCTTGGGGATTGGGTATCCTACCCAAGAGAGGGAAAGATAGTAACTGTATATGGGTGGCTGTCCCAGTGGGCCCCAGGCTATCCCTGTCCACACTCAAATCCTCTGCTCTCGACCCTTCCAGGACCAGCCCTCCCCACGACCTCTGCTCTGAGAGATCCTAAAGTCCATTCCTGGAAGCCTTGCCTTCCACGGCCGCTCTCCTCCTTCCATACCCCACCCCATACATCGTCACCTGTAGGATACCCACACTTTCTCCTCCCACCTAGAGGTTTCTAGGGCTGTGCAGTTAAGAGGCCAGAGTGGCCCACCAGCTTCATAGCATATCTTCACCTGGTTCGGACCCCTAAACCCAGAGGCAAAAATGGGCTGACTGCTCCAAAACCCAGGAGCTCAAGAAGCACTCCCTTGGACAGCTAAGCCCCCATCGCCCGCACAGCATACTGCCTCGGGGTCCTCCTTACCCAGGGAGACCAGGATCCCATAGTTCTCCTGCATGACTTCCCGGTAGAGGTCCCGCTGGTCCACATCCAGCCTCTCCCACTCCTCCAAAGAGAAGTACACAGCCACATCTTCAAAAGTCACCAGCCCCTGAAGAACATAGAGCCCCAGGAGAAAAGCTGAGGGGACGCCCTGCCTCCAATACCCATGCCAGATAAGGTTAGAACATATAGTGGGGACACAGCCTAGCACCCCATTATTGATGGGTCCACATGTGCCCAGATGATACTGCTGTCCCTCAGGCCTCTCGGCCTGTGACAGGGACCCATCTCTTATCCATCAAACTCAGAGAGGGCAGAAGCCCTAGCTACTATGGCCCCTCCGATGTCACAGAGACCAGTCCCAGCAAATACCTTGGCCACATCAACAGGTTAGGGATGGACAGCTGGTACCAACTAAACTGAGTGTGGGTACTGATGTCGGACCTCACAGCAGAAAAACAGACCCTAGGAAGGGGATAGTCATCCTAGAAGACTCCAACTTGACTTGGGGATAGGATGGGGGCAGCCATGCCCAGTAACAGTTGAGTGGGAGGTAACCAGAGTACTCAGAACAACGTAATGGCCTGGAAAGGGACAGAGACCTGGGAAAACAGAACCACATAAACCCTGGGACTGGGAGCCAGAGCCACAACACAAAGAGGGCTCAAGACCACAGCTGACCAGTGCATACACAGAGGGCAGTTCACCTGCGTCAGGAAATGCTCATCATCTTCCTCTTCCTCCTCTTCCTCTGGGTCTTCGTCCTGAATAGTAGGAGACACTCGGGAGGCCTGCAGGGCTGAGAGGAAGATGGCTTAGGGCCAGTGGTACCTGGCTGGCAAACAGGATGGGGCTCCCGGCTACTCCCATCCTTCGGACCCAGGTCCAGTCTCAGCTCCATGGTCCCCCAGCCTACTCCTTCCCCCAGCAGCAGCGGGGTCCTTGTCCTTACCTTCTCCTTGAAGAGCTGGCGACTTCACATCACCACCATTGCTAAGCTGCTCCTGGGTCCCCAAGCTCAGACTCTGCTCCTCTGCCAGCACCTCCTCCACACTGTCGGCATCGGCATCATCGGCATCATCGGCGCCGTCCTCTGAGCTGGCCTCCGCCTCCGCCTCCTGTACCTGTGTGGCCACTTCCTCCTCCTCCACCACTACCTCTTCGGCCTGCTCCCCCTCTGCCTCCTCTCCCCCCTTCTCATCCTCATCCTCCTCTTCAGGGTCTGCATCGCATTCTGACCCGTCTTCGGCAGGCTCCAGGTGGGTAGCTGGGGATTCTGGAGTAGTGTGAAGGGCAGCCATCGTCCCTAGGAGAGAGCCTCCGCGTGGCCTGAAACACAGAGGCGCTTCGAGGGGGAGGCCACAAGGGCTGAGGGAGGACCGTGTTCTGTCTGTTATCTCGGGCTGTGCAACTGGCAGGTGGTTTACCCAGAGAGACCACCCAAAGGGCTCCTCCCCACAATCCTCTGGGCCATAGCTTCTGCTCTCTCATCAGCAGCCATGTGTCTAGTGTGAGCAGCAACCTACTCGTGGGTAAGTCACCCATTATCCCAACCCATCGATCCTCCAGGACCAGGAGAAGCATGGAATGCAGCCAACAGAGCCCCCAGCGACCCATGTTTACTGCTGAGTGACTGTAACCTACAAGGGGTAGCCTGTCCCACACAGAACGCCAACACAAGCAGCTTACCCCGCCCTCAGCATACATGAGCCAGTTCAGGCCCACACACTGTCGGACCACTGGCACCTACGCCGCTGCAGGTGGCTAGGTGTGCGGCGCAGGGCTGGAGAAGTATCTTTGTTTCGTCTCTTCAGGGGAAAGGAGAGAGTGCCCATCGGTCAACGAGCTCTCAGGCCCCCTCCTGTGAGTCAAAGGAGAGACAGGGCCATGAGCAGGCTCCACTCTGCTACCTATCTTTATCTGACTCTCTCAGCCAGTCAGGGAGGCGGGGGTCCAGCTCATCACTAGGGCCAGCACAGCTGACATGACACTCCTTCAAATGCAAGGGTCAGAGACTAAGAACGGCTGAGATGTCAGCACCTCAGAGGCTCACAGCGTCCTACTCACCCAGCGATTCCACAGACTCAGTCCAGCTGTACCTGGCCTGGAGCCTAGAGCCACGGACTGAAGGGGATGGCATCAGGGATCCTACAGCCACTAATCTAGCCTATGTCTACAAAGAACCAGCCCAGTGAATCTCAAGGGCTGGGCAGTCATGTTTTCTTTTCTATTATATTGTATTTATTTGTGGAGTAGAGGTGCATGCCATGGCAAATGTGTGGAGGCTGGGGGGCAACTTGAAGGAGTCAGTTCTCTTTCCACCCCATTGGGTCTCGGGGATCGAACTCAGGCCATCAGACTTGGCAGCGGGTGCCGTTAGCTGTGGTTTTCACCAATTCATTCCTATGGCTCTTTCCGCCATCATGTCACTCAGTACCTGCGCTGTAAGTATCTCAAATCTGAATGGGAACATTTTCAAAAGCAGGGCAGGCCACCCCAGCATGCTGAATTCCAAAAAGATCCTGAAATGCCAGGCCACACCAGACACTGGAGCCACCTCAGTGGACAGCATTGCCCCAGGATGCTTAAAACCAGACTGTGGCAGGTAAAGATGCCCAGGGCCATGAGAACAGTCAGAACACTGTGCCTGGTATTCCCAGGGACACACCTGAGCACCCTACTCGGGCCAGGCTCACCTATATCCATTTACCTTTCTGTTCAGACATCTGCTTTCAAACCTATGCTCTGGGGGCTAGAGAGCTGGCTCAGCAGTTAGAAGCACTGGCTGCTCTTCTAGAGGACCTGGGTCAATTCCCAGAATCCACATGGTAGCTCAAAATCATCTGTAACTCCAGTTCCAGGGGATCCTAGGCCCTTTGCTGCCCTCTGTGGACACCAGACATACGGGTAGTACACAAGACATACAAGGAGGCAAAACACTTACACACGTAAAATTAAAAAAGGGTTTTAATTAAAATCTACACTTTGGTACTGGGGAGGTAGCTCAGTCTGTAATGTGCTTGCTTTGCATGAATGAAAACCAGAGTTTGCTCTCCTGAATGTAAAAGCTGGGCATGACAGTGCACGCCTATAATCCCAGCACTGTGGAGACAGGGACTGGAGGTTCCAATGTGGCCAACTCAGTGAGCTCCAGTGAAGGGCCCTGCCTCAAAAAAAAAAGGTGGACAGCAATTGAAGACACCTAGCATGCATGACTTCTGGCCTCCACATACATTCATACACACCTGCACACACATAAACATGGACACACTCCACACACTACAAAAGTAAACAAATGAGCAGTCAAAAACAAAACAAAAAGAATCCCATTCTTTAGCAGCTAGAACTCTCTGAGCATCCCTGCCAGTGCCAACCCCCCAAATCCAAGGGCTGGGACTCCTGACATCCACAGTCCCCTCTGTTGTGACTGTCTGTCCCCCCAGCACTGTCTCAAACTAGATTCTGAAGCACAGCATCAAAGACTGAAGCCACAAACCTAGGTCTAAGAGAACCACCTGAGCCCTCCAGGGCTCTTTGGTGTTGGAAGATGCCTGAAGGGTAAACACACACACACACACACACACACACACACACACACACACACACGCCTTGTGCTATCCTGGCCAGCACTCAGGGTCACCAAGAACACTTAGGGAGAGATTTCCAACCACCACCCACCTCAGACCTACTAGAGAAGGACTTTGCTTACTCAGGCCTAAGGCTGTCGATTCAAGCTGAGCCCAGACACCCACAGAACTAACTCAGACTTCCTCAGGCCAGACTGTTGTCTGTAAGGATCCAAGAAAAGAAGAAAGCTGGGGCTGGGAAGTCAATTCAGTTAGTCAAAGTGCTCGGCGATACAAGCAGCTGTGGGGAGGGGAGAGGAAAAAAAGGCTGAGTACAGCACTGTCGATCTATAAACCCAGCCCTGGGCAGAGCTGGCCAGGAAACCAGGATTGGTAAGCTCCAGAGAGACACTGCCTCAAATAATATGGTGGAAAGTGACTATACCAACCTCTGTCATCCACATGCACATTTGTGTATAAGTGTGCACAGAAGCACACATAAAACTGTGTACATACACTATACACAAGGAAGAGGAGGAGGAGGAGGAGGAAGAGGAGGAGGAGGAGGAGGAGGAAGAGGCAGCCCATCTTGGCTACATCCACATTTTCTTTACTGAAGAGTATTCAACAGAAGGATGATGAAGAGTCTGCATTTTCTTCCCCCCGGACCCCTATGCCAGACACACAGTAGTCATTTCAGTACTTACTGAAGACATGGCCCGAAGATCTATAGTTAATGACATGGACATCGGTTTGTTTTCCATTGTTGTTTTTTTCAAATCGGTGTCAGGGCTCAACTGTCACACTCCACAACAGGCCAACCACAGACTGAGGGAAGGGTACATCAAACTAAAATCCACCTCAGAAGCAGTGGAGAGCCTCTGCCTCCAAAGAGGACAGTGGGTAAAATCAAATCCATGCATTAGCCTGGTGATGGTTACTGCTGCACACTTGACAGGATCTGGAACCACAGAAGAGAGACCCATCTGGGATGTCTGTAAGGGAGTTTCTAGATCAGGTTCATTGGGATGGGAAGATCCTCTCTGAATGTGGGTGACACTATCCCCTGAGCTAGGGTCTTGGACTGAATAAAAAGGAGCCAGCAAGCTGAGCGCCAGCATCCATCACTCTGCTTCCTGATTGTGGATACAATATGACCAGCTGCCTCAAGTAATGGCCGCTGTGTCTTTCCCATCATGATGGTCTGTACCTTTAAACTGTGAGCCTAAGCAAAAGCTTCCTCACTTAAGTTGCTTCTTGTCAGGCCTGAGCAAGGAGAAATAAACGATTAAAAGCTTCCAAGAGCCAGGTGGTGGTGGTGCGCGCCTTTAATCCCAGCACTCAGGAGACAGGGCCAGGCGGATCTGTGAGTTCAAGGCCAGCCTGGTCTACAGAGCGAGATCCAGGACAGGCACCAAAACTACACAAAGAAACCCTGTCTTGACAAACAAAACAAAACAAAAGCCTCTAAGGTTACCAAGAGGTGGTGTACACTTTCAATCTCAGCACTTGGGAGGCAGAGGCAGGCGAATCTCCGAGAGTTTGAGGCCAGCCTGGTCTATAGAGCAAGTTGCAGGACAGCCAGGGCTACACAGAGAAACTCTGTCTTGAAAAACAAAAAACTACAACAATAACAACAACAAATCCTCCAAAGTTAGCAGTCCATGGGAAGACAGGGCAGAAGCCAAGAAAAGGCCAATGCTCCAGGTGCCCTGACCCAGGATTCAGAACAAAAGTTCTGAAAACCAGTCTGACCAGAGGTAGGTCAGTTCATATTCTTACAACTCAGGCCTTAGGGGCTCCCCGCCTCCTTGGATATTTCCCCCCAACACCCCCCTCCCCTCCAGTCAATCAATCCCTAGAAAGTCTTTCTCCTCACTTCCCCTTGACCTCCCATCCTAGATCAGAATGCAGAGTCAAGTTCATGGCTTCATCATGCAAAACCCCTGGGTCACTCCTAACCCTTAGGGCAATACGCTGCAGATACAGAATGGGGTGGGGCCCTGTCCATAAAAAGAAGGTGTGCAAAGACACATGGTAAAGTTTGAAAAATTAGGAACTCCAGAGAAGTCCCAAATCCAGAGGAACCCACGTGAAGGAACATACTTGTGTGTTCGTGCACATGCGTGCACACTTCTAGTGACCTTCATTCCTGCTCAGTGGCACCCACTGACTTCAAGGCCCTTCAGGACTTTTTGTCCAGGATGTCTTTCCCTGTTCACTACAATCCTCTCCATCTGCCGAGTTTCCGTAGCCCCTACTCTCCAGGGTTGCTCCTGGAAGCCATCCAAGACATCCCAGATCAGGCTCCTAGCTAGCCCTCCAAGACCGGCCAGTAGCTACTGAACTAAAACAAAGTGCCGATGCCACCCACTGAGGCTGAGCAGGTGAGCTGATCCTCGATGGTTCCTGCATCTCCTCTTTCCCTCCTTGTGTCCACATGAGGCACCCTAGATTCCAACAACCCGAGGGATGAGTTCCCCCACCCACATCGGGGGGCAACAGATTTAGCAGATAGGAACCCAGTCAGCCTCCATTTGCAAACGAGACAAACTGGACCGCGGCCCCCCAATGTCACAAAGCCAGCTTTAGGGCTCCAACACAGGGTGCTTCCCTCCTCTCCCTCCCTCTAGAGCGGTTACCTAGGATCCATCTCATGCTTGGGCAGGAGTGGTGACAGCCCTCCTTGGAAGGTGTCTCCGGGGAGTGGGGGCGGTCCCCGCCCAGCTCCCGCCCCTGAGCTGAAGGAGGCGGTGCTGGCACCTTCCAAAGGTGCAATGTATGTCGTCTCCGGCCCGCCCCCTCCCACGCTGGAGTCTATGACTCTGGGGCTGGGGGGTGGGGGGTGGGGGGAGTGTCAAGCCATCCGTGACGTGACGCGCAGGCCCAGGCCAGTATTGGGGGACTTAGGGGCCTGGAAGATCCAGCTCGTGCAACTGCAGCTCCGACCCCTCCAAACACAGGCCGCGGAGACCCGCGATCGCCCCACGATCCTCCAAGGCCTCCAGAGCTGGGGCATCCAGGACGGCCAGGCTCGCCGCCGCCACCGCCCCCAGCGCGCGCGTCCCGCCCGCGCGCACCTGCCGCGTCCGCGCGCCCCACTCACCGCGCGCGCGCCCGGGGCCCAACCAAGCCGGAGCGAGACACGGACTCGGGGGCGGGGGGCTGTGACCACCGGGGACCCCCCCGCACTACACAAAGTGACGGCCGCGAGCTGCGCGACGGCGGAGGAGGCGGTGGCGCGTGGGCACCGGAAGTGCCGCCCGCCGGCCCCGCCTTGCCCGCGCCCACGGGGGGGCACTTCCGGTCATGGGGCGTCACGGAGCTCTGGGTGCAGACAGGGGGGCTGCCGCGTCGCACCCCCATGTGCGTGAAGGATGCTCGTGGCTACCCATGATGAGCATCCATGGACTACCTGCTCCTCTCCCCTGCAAGAGATCCCTGCCCACCCCCTTGGAGATGCCCACGAGCCCTAGCGAGCATCCCTTCCTTCCAGACCACGGCCTAGGTCCACTGCGGTGCGTGTCAGGACGTGTCCGGAGCCCGTCCCCTGTCCACAGGACCCTCCCTGGATCTTACGATGGCGGAGAAGGTGGTGACCCCTTGTGGATATCCAGGCAGCGGCAAGTGTCGACCCTGACATGAGCAAGGGTGTGGCCAGGAGGTTGATCATCTTTGATGATCCACAGCTCCACTACAACTGCCTTCTGGAGTCACTTGTACGTGCAGGGACAGTGCTGACAAGGGTGTGGCAAGGAGAGGGTCAGCCTGATCAAGGCATGAGGGGTCCTGTGGGCTATAGCAGTCCAATGCACAGAAGGTTGTAGTTTGAGGCCAAATTTGAGTTCTGTTCTTCAACTCCCTGACCTGCCATCCCCAGATCTGGCATGAATATTGGGGTAGTGGCCTTGCAATGGCCTCAGACAAGTTGAACCTTGATGGTCTAATATTCATGGCTATTCTGGTCAGTGCTCTGCTGCCCTACATGGGCCATCTATGTTCTGAAGCCCCTGGACCCTGAGCCTGCTGGCCACCTGAGCTGAGTGCCCCAGGTACCAGGTTCTAGCCTCTGCCCTCCTTCCTCTTTTCCACCCTCCCTCCCCTCTCTTACATTGAGAAGACTTTGCGAAACTTTTGTGCTTTCCTTGGTAGACCATATAGCCTGGATGCTTAGGATTCGTGGACCTGGCTGGCTCTCTGGCTGCCTCTCTGCCTGCCGGTTCTTTGGGAACCAAAACCTCACCCCTCTTTGCTGACACACACACACACACACACACACACACACACACACACACACACACACAGACAAACATGGAAGGAAGGTCCTTGTCTCTCGTTCCCATGTGTGTATGTCAGCTATCTCCATGATGACATTCTTCCACAGCCTGATTTTTTTACACAGACTGACTACCTAGCAGATCACCTTCCCCTAGCAGGCTACCTGACAAACTAGAAACCCAAGGGAGGGAAGAGGGGCCAATCCCACCCTATGGGACACATAGCAGGTGATGGGGTGTGTATATTCCTGCCGTGTGCCATGCTTAACCACTCTCCATGTTCTCATGTTGTCAAGTGGACAGGGGGCAAAGGGGAAAGAGATCTTCCCAGGGGGGCTGTGTATTATAAAAGTCGTGCAGTAAGGCATGGTGGTGCAAGCCTGAAGTCCCAGCTACTCTGGAGGAACATGAGTTCAGAGCTACAAAGGGAGTTCAAGTTCCAGCCTGAGCAACTAGTAAGACCCTAGCTCCAAAAATACTAAAAGCTGGGAGGTAGCTACCAGTACTGGGCCTGACTAGAATCCCCCAGTGAGGGGCTGGGGTGTGGATCAGTAACAGACGGATTTTCTAGAATTTACACCAGTGAGGCCCCGGGGGTGTGACTCAATGAAAGAGCACTTGCCTAGAAGCCACTAGTGAGGATCTGGGGGTGTGAACCAGTGATAAAGTGCTTACCCAGCTTGCTCAAGGCGTCGGATTCCATCTCTAGCTCCTCCCAAAGGAAAACAAAACAGATAAGACGTTAGCATTTTCTACAGTGGATGAATTTGAGGTCACTTTTTTGGAGGGGAAGGAAGTAAAGAAACCAGGTATATTCAGCTCACAGTTTTGGACACTGGAAGTTCAAACAGCCTGGCACAGACTCTAAAGAAGGGTCCTGGCTCTATCACACTGTCAAGGGAATGTGTGTGTCTGTGTGCTGATACCATTTTTTGTTTTGTTTGTTTGATTGACTCTTGAGATAGTGTGATGGCTGATCTTGGTGGCTGTCAAGTTGAGGCACTTGGGGAGAGAGCTCTCAGTTGAGGAATTACCTCCATCAGATTGGCCGGTGGGCATGTCTTGATTTTCTTGATTCAATTGATGTGGGAGGGCTCAGCCCACTGTGGGTGGTGCCATCCCTAGGCAGATGGCCCTGAACTGTGTAGGAAAGGTAGCTGAGCAAGCCAGTAAGCACTGTTTCTCCACAGTTCCTACTTGGGTTCCTGCCTTGAACTTCTTCCCTTGGTGATGGACTGTAACCTGTCAACCAAAACAAACCCTCTCCTTCTAAGATGCTTGGTAAGAGTGATGTATCACAGCAACAGAAAAAGTAGCTAGGGCAGATAGTCTCACTATATAGCCCAGGCTAGCCTTGACCTCGAGATCCCCCTGCTCCCACCTGCCTGTCCACTGCCACTTTTGACAAGAGCTGGAATGTAAATGTGCCCAAGGCTTGCCCATCCCCTGCCTCCCAGCAGGAAACCTGGCAGGCTAGAACCCACAGAAGGGGAGAGGAGTCAGTCTCATCATATGGGAAACAAAAGTAGGTCATGGTTTCTGGGGAAGAGGAAAGGAGACTGAGCCCACCCATATCATGGACTGATCCAGCTGCCCCCAGATGCGTACTGAGCTAGAGAAGAGGGGATTGGCAGCCTGCCTGGGGACTAGACCTGCCCAGGCCTGTGCACCCCCAGAGAACGGAAACAAGAAAAACAGATGTGGGGCTGGGGAGAGGGCTCAGTTGGTGAAGGGTTCACCATGCAAGCTTAGAGGCCTGAGTTTCATCCTGAATGCCCACCTGAAAAGCCAGGCATGGTGGTGCACGCTTGTATGCCTTGTGCCAGAGAAGCCGAGATAGGAGGATCCCTGGGGCTCACTGGCCAGCCAGCCTAGCCTAATCGGTGGTACTTAGGTCCCAGTGAGAGACCCTGGCTCAAAAAATAAAGTAGGGGCTGGAGAGATGGGTCAGTGATTAAGGACATATGCTGTTTTTCCAGAAGACCTGAGTTCATTCGCAGCACCCACATCAAAGGGCTCACAACCACCTATAACTACAGCTCCAGGGGAACCCACACTCCTGGCCTCTATAGGCACTGCACTCACATCGTACGCACACATACACACACACACACACACACACACACACACACACACACACACACACACACACAATTAAAGATACTAAAATCTTTTGAATTTTTAAAATTAAATAAAGTGATGGTTCCTGAGGAAAGACACCTAAGGCTTTCCTCTGACCTCCACAGGAACATGCACACACTCACAAAGTAAACTCTATAGTGGGGAAAAAAAGATACCTCCACTGGAGAACAGCTGTCCCTCCATCCTAGGCTTAAGCTCCTGCACAGTGTCACTACCAGACATAAGATGTTGATGAGGATATCACAAAGCAGTGAAGGGCACACAGCCCACCTCCTCAGGGAATAAAGTAAATCCCAAAGCTGTGACTATGAGCCCCCACCCCAGAACCCCATGCAAAGAGCTGAGAGAGAACAGAGTCAGGTGGGTCCCTATGCCTCCCCGGCACAGGTAGTGCTCACTCAAGCATGACAGGGGACAGAGAATGGGACAAGTAGGCCCTGGGTGAGAGCCTGAGGTGGGAGCTTGGGGTGATTTAGGGAGCTCCAAGAGGGTGGACAGCAGAGAGGTCATGGTTTGCCAAGAGATGGTGGGGGTGTGATATGGGAGTTCTGGGGAGCAGCAAGAAGACATCTAAAAGCTGTTGAGGTGGTAGAGGGGCCCAGTGGACAAAATCCCTGCCATGCAAGCATGAGGACCTGAGTTCAGATCTCAGCACCCACAGAAAAGGCAGGCATGGCGGCCCGTAATTCCAGCACTGGGAAAAGGAAGATGAGAGGGTCCCTGAGGTTTGCTGACAGTCTAGACACACGGCCGAACTCTAGATCATCTTATAGTCAATAAACAGACAATAGTAAGAGGGGGCGCGGGAGGAAAACTATGGAGGACGACAGGATGATCGCTGGAGCTCAATGGCCAGCCAGTCCAGCTGAGTAAGTGAGCTCCAAGTTCAGTGAGAGACCCTGCCCCCAAAACCAAGGTGGAGTGTGAGCAGGGAAACACTTAACATCAGCCTCTGGCCTCCACATAGACATTCGCACACATGCACGGATGCACCTGTGTGTACACAAATACGCACAACGCTGTTGAGTGACAAGCTGTGAAGATGGAAACTTCAACAAGAACCAGACCCCCCCCCCCTTTAGAACCCCGAGTGTTCCAGGTCTGCGATGTGGTCTGTGTCAACACCATCATGAAACACAGGGCCTCCATCTTCCCTTCAGATGGAGCCCCGCTTCCTGCCCCAGCCCTCACTACCATGCCCACATCTGCCCTCTGCTGCCCTACCCAGGCAACCAAATCCATTGAAACATCCCAGCTGAGAGCAACTGCAAGGCATTCTGGGAGTGAGTGGTCACTGGGGCGGGGGGGGGGGGGGGGGGGGGGGGGGGGGGGGGGGGCGGGCGCGGGCGCACGTAGAAAGGGACTGACAGCTCTTTTCTTGCTGGGTACAAATGAAGGTGACCAGAGGGCCGCCAGACCAATTCCAGGTCCCTGCAAAGAAGCAGTAAGGAACGGGCAGAGGCGGGGTATCTTGCCTGAAGACAGGGGAATGCCCAAGGGCCCCTCTGAGGTTGCTTTGAATTCATATCTCAACCTCTGTACTTCTGTGCCATTTTTGCACAGCCCAACTGTAGCAAAAATCTTGTCCAGTCAGTTTATCTAGAAGCCCCACCCCCAGTATCTGGTGAAACGCTCCCACCACCCCAAAGTGATTGTTAGCTCATCACCCTGATCTGTCTCAACAAGCACCATTGTTGGTCTGCTTAACTAGAATCCCCCATTAGTATTTTTCCATGTATTGACACCTGTCCCACCCCCAGGTTCTTGACAGCATAGTCCATGTTGTGTTCCTAATTAAGCTGGTTCAGATCTCTGCCCCCAGAATTAAATATGACTTCAGCACTTTAACTTTCTGTCTTTTGGGGGGTGTGTGTGTGTGTGTGTGTGTGTGTGTGTGTGTGTGTGTGTGTGTGGTGTTTCCATGCTCAGAGGCCACAAGAGGATGTTAGATGTTTTCTACTCTAGCACTCTGGCTTATTCCCTTGAGACAGGAACTGTCACTGAATCTGGAGCTAGGCTGGTAGCCATCAAGTCCCAGCAATCCTCCTGTCTCCACTCCCTATAGCTCTGGGGTTATAGGTACATGAACAGCCATACTCGGCTTTTTATGTGGGTGATAGCGATTCACACTCGGGTCCTAATGCTTGTGTAACGAGTGTTTTTACCCACTGAACCATTTCCCCAGGCCTAACGTGTGTGTGTGTGTGTGTGTGTGTGAGAGAGAGAGAGAGAGAGAGAGAGAGAGAGAGAGAGAGAGAGAGAGAGAGTCTACTGTAGCTAAGGCTGGCATAACTGCATCTACCTCCCCAGTACTGGGATCACAAGCATGTGCCACTGTACCCAGTTTATGAGGTGTTGGAGATCAAACCCAGGGTTTCTTACATGCTAGATAAGTCCTCCACCAACTGAGCTACATCCTGGCCACAGGCACTTTAATTTCTTTTTCCAACTGGCATGACAGTGGCTGGAGAAAAGGCTCAATGGTTAAGAGCATTTGCTGCTTCTGCAGAGGACTCAGGTGTGGTTCCCAGCAGCACCCACGTGGCAGCTCAAACCATCTGTAGCTTCAGTTTCAAGGGATCCAGTGCTCTCTTCTGACTACACAGGCACCATGCATGATCATAGTAGACAGACATACATGCAGACCACACACACACACACACACACACACACACACACACACACACACACACACACACACGCAGGCATAAAATAAAATAAATAGATCTAAAAATCAGGTTAAACAAACTGGCACTACAGTTGTCTGTCCAATCTAGGGACATGGGTCAGCACTCCACTATGCCAGGCTTCTTACTTCCCTGTGCCAGTCCTGGAAACTGAGCTGGTGTGGACATTTGTTACCAGCTCCCTGGAAGATACAGAAACCAGCCGAGCTGCCTGGAAGAGGTTTAGACAAAGTCACCTAGAAAGGACACTCTCCACACTATTAAGCTGCCTGCAGGCTGTGCAGTGTGCTCCCCTGCAGCTGTCTTAGAGTCATTTCTGCTCCTGTAAGTGACCCCTCACCCGTATTCCTGCAAGTAACTCCGATAAAGCTCATTGGTTCACCAAGTTGGACTTTGGTGGTATCCGTACTGGGGTCTAAGTAGATGTGTGTGTTGTGTCTCACCAGGAAAAGTTTTGTCACACAACATAATTGGTGCCTGGACAGGGACAGGACAGGACCAAAGATGAGTTGGGGAGGAGTGAGTCGAGGTCCTGGCTGTGGGTAGCAAGACATGCAACTGAGACTTGCTAAGCAGCCTGAGGGGGCAGCATCTTCGGAGAAAATTCCGATAGAGTTGTCCTTTCCTGTGCGGTGTGTGTTCGTGTGCCTTCGTTCATGACAGCGGTGGCATCGTTCTTGCTATAGATAATGAGACATGCAACTAGGGCTGAGCCATCGGCATTAGGAGTGTCTGTGGGGGAAATCTCAGGATAGCAGTCCTCGTCTATGTGGTGTGGGGTGGCATGCCTACTTGATGAGTGGGGTCCACCATGTGAATATGGAGAGTCCCTGAAAACAGTTAAAGGTTTAGAAGAAAGTTTTCGGTCTTTGAGATTAGTGCACAAGAGTTGAGATTATGGGCAGCAGCGGCAGAGGTTGCCTGGCCACTGTTGTGTAGACAGAAACGCATGAGAAATGGCTGTCAAGCAGGAGCTTATTCGTGTAAAGGAGCGACTGTAACAGGAGAGGGAGCTGTGGCAGCATCCTCCGCGTGAGCCTCTGCTCTGGCAAGGAACTTAGATAAAGGAGAGGGTGAGATGGCGGGGTTGGCTTGCCCCTTCTTAAGGCTTGGGGCCGGAAAGAAAAGAGAATACAAGTTAGATCCGTGCTCAAAAGCCCGTCCGGGGATCCAAGAACTTGGAATCCAGGGAAGATCCAGTGAGTGAGGAGGAGGAGTAGAACATCACAAAAGCAATAGAAGATACACCTCAGGTAATGGAAAAAGGGGGGATCTATAATCCGTCATGCAGACGGGGGCATTAACAATGGTCCAGGTTGATAATTAAGGAATACTCAGCACCTGAGCTGCTGGAACCAGGGAAGACTTTTAAACAAACAATGAAAGAGCCTGTTGCCACCTGGCTTCTGAGGCTGTGGGACATGGTGGTGAACTCTGACTGCTGTGGAGGCAGGAAAACTGAGTCATCCGACTACCCATCCCTCCTTAAAGAAAAGGCTGCATAACCTGAGACAGTGTGAGGGAAGTCAGTCCCTCAGGGACTGACTTATCAGAGCCATTAGGAACACTTGGTTACCTCCATCTGAGGTCCCCATAAATATCAGGGGTAGGAGGACCAGAGAGGAGGGGCAGATGCTGTTGAGGGAACTAGGGATAAGAGAAGCTGTGTTTGAACCCCAGTTCACTGGACCAGACAGAAATGTGTTCACAGAGGAGTTAAAGACAAGGCTGACCCAGCAGGGGTGGGGTGGAGCTTTAGTGGCTTTGCTGAGTCTGCTGGTGCGGGGTAAGATCTTTATAAAGTAGGGAAGGCTTTGGCAGATCTCAATGACTCCAACCAGCGTGAGGAGAGAGTCCATAAAGCAAGAGAGCAACCTAGAGGAGATATAAAGGTAAGGCGGAGGAAGAGTCTGCATTACTTAAAGACAAATGTGGCAAGATTTGTGTCCAGCTGGAGTTCCTACGGGGGTGAAAAAAAACTGATAGGAAGCCAAATTGGGTGCTGAGGAGCTTCTGGAAGGCCGGAAAGCCTGAGGAGCAGTTCACAGAAGACATCCATGATAGAGCAGTATAAGTGAAGACAATCAAGCCTGTCCCAGGGGTGAGTAATATCCTCCCCCACCCCAGACTAAGGAGGGTACATTTTCTCTCCAGCAAAACAGTATGCTAGGGTTGGAGACGCTTTCCCAGTCAGGAACTCCCCCAAGAGCCAGGTGTGGTGAACCGGGGAGGTTACAGTTACAGTGGCAACCCAAGGCCCCTTTGACCGAGGGAGCCATCAGGTACAGCCAGGCAAAGCAGGGTCACATTCACCGTTGGCCCTGAGTAGGGCTGAGCAGATTAAGTGCGGCCCACTGAGTTTATCAGGGGTGGAGACATGTAGGGATGCTCCATGGAAGACCTCCAGGATATGGCAATGTACTGGCTCGGAGAGAATAGTTAAAAGATTACAGGAGCTAATTGTACCCAACCATGATCTGCGGAGGGAGCAACTGATTTAAATGGCTGGGACGTCCGTGCTGTATTAGACCTTGCTTATGTTTGACGTCAGTACCTTCTTGGTTGTTAACCTCCGGGATCACCTGACACTTGCTGAGAACAGATGACAACAGACTTTCAGAGTGCCTCACCAATGTTATCTTTGTTATGGGATGGAGGTTCAGGATGTGGCCTTGTCCTGCATCCTCTGGAAAAGGTTTTGTTCTATAGATGACATAATGCTAACCCCGGAGTGTTTCGCAGATTTGGCAAACCACTGAGAGACAATCGGATGCAATGGTATTTCTACTTAACTTCCAACCCTACTTGGATTGGGTTAATTAAAAGGAAAAAAATCCAAAAGATCTGATCCATGGGTGGAAATGGACACGCCCAGTGTCCCACTCATTATTGAATGACAACCCTACCACCAGGCGTGGGCCGCCTTCTATGAGTTGTTGGTCAGGAAAACCCCCGAGGCCCCACAAACCATAAAGGCTGTGGCTACTGTTGTAGGTTGTACGCCAGAACTAGATAGTAAGAGCCTGCTGCTGAAGACACCGTATGTGCATGCTCTGACGGTGTGACATGAAGAAATTAAGCTGGGATTGAACTGGAAACTCCCACCCTGTCAACTGGCTTTCATGATGCCAGAAGGGGCCATGCAGGCAGCTAGCGGAGAACTGTCCCCAGCAACCCTGCTCGGCTATGAACCTTGAGTGCTGAAACACCAACATGCCGGGCAGGAGGTGCTGGGTTGTGCAATAACAGCTGAGCTATGTCGGGTAAAACCAACAGCCTTCCAGGTGGATTTAAGGCCCGCTCATCAGGAGGGATTTCACATCTAGTACTGTAAGCCAGGACAAAAACCTGTAGCTAGGAGGAATCATAGGTCCCAATGAGGAAGCAGCTTTTATGGTTTTTTCTAGATGGATGTGATGTGCCTGTCTAACTGCCTTCTAAACATGTGCACATTTGCCGGTAGATCACTGCTGTCATTGGCCTCAACCCAACTACTGGTGAAGCTCCTGAGAACAAGTGACTGTTACTGTGGCATGGTGGCCACACTTAGTCATAGGTGGACATCTGTAGTTAGCCCCTCCAAGGCTCAGAAGAGGAACACAGGAAGAAGGAAGGTGTTATGTAACAGTTTCCTCAGAGATTAAAACCTTCCATCCTGCAGGAAGCTCCTTAAGCAGGAAGTAAACACCTCAAAATAGCTCCAGGAAGTCCCTGAAACTGACCAGATTCACTAGGCCCCTCCTGCCAGAGTAAGCAATAAAAACGGAGTGTCCCCTCTGTGACCAGCAGAAGGGACCAGCGAAGAAGACTCCAAGACAAGGTCGGCTGCCTGGATGTGGAAACCAGCTGAGCTGCCTGGAAGAGATTTCGAGCAGTCACTTGGAAAGGACGCTCTCCAACCTGTTGAGTCTGCAGGCTGTGCAGTGCGCTCCAGGCTCCCAGACTGGTGAGCTGTCACCCATGCCGAGGTGGGCTTTGGTGATGCAGCTGCCTTTGAGTTGTTTCTTTTCCTGTAAGTTAACCCCTCACCGGTATTCCTGCAAGTAACCCCAATAAAACTCAGCAGTTGACCAGGTCGGACTCTGGTGGTATCCGTACTTTGATCTGTTGTAAAATACCTATCTGGGGTGTGTTGTGTCTCCCCAGAAAGAGTTCTGTCACACAACAGTGCTACTCAGCCCGGGTGTGTGGGTGGTTTCTGAAGGACAGAGAGCTCATGTCCACAGCTGGGAGACTCCAGCAGACTCAGAGTCACCCAAAGCTACTGTGTATGCACTGAGTTATTCCCAGACTCACAGAATCACAAATGTCCTGAAATGACTGGCACCTTCCTGTACTGGCTGTGTCCCCTCTGTCCCCATTGGTGAGTGCAGGAAAGCTGACACCAAGTGCAAGCTTCTAGAAATTCGCTGGGTCGGCAGATGGTCCTGTCACTGACAGAGGCCCCTGTGGCCAGCAGAGCAGGAATTAAGCAGGTGACCGTGATGGTGAGCTGTCTCTCCATATCCCCCAGGCTGGCCTTGAATTTGCCACCCTCCGGCCTCAGGTTTCAGATAGCAGGATGGGAGACTGTGCTGACAAGCCAGGCTAGCTGTTACATGAGTGTATTTGGGGGATATCTCCCTTGTACATACCATTTAGAGATATATATGAGAGACAGGGGAGTTGCATTAGTGCCAAACATGTATTTTTTTCTTTTTTGACGTCCATTAGATTTTATCCATATTATTTTGATGAAACTGCTCTAAAATGACTCATTTCTATGGGATGGAGTGATGTTTCAGAAGTCAAGAGCACTCGCTGCTCTTCCAGACTGGAGTTTGGTACCCAGCACCTACATTGGGCTGCTCACCACCACCTATAACTCCAGCTCCAGGGGATCTGACACCCTCTTTTGCCCTCTGTAGGCACCTGCACACATGTGGCATGTACTCATATAGACACACCACACACATATACGTAAATAACAAATAATAAAAGTATTCCCTTCTAGCAAGATTGTGACCGCTTGTCAAGGCTGAGGTCAGCAGTAACAGAACAGTCCAACCAAGCCACAGTACAGGCAGAGCCAGGGTACCATTGTCCTCAGAGCAGAAGCATCTTGAGACAGGTGTAGGGGCTAGCCCTCTGGTTTCTTCACACATGGGCAATTTAAGCTCTACTCTGTTTATCTTCTAGTTGGTCACTCAGCAGTCTGCCAGCCATTTGCTTTAGAAGCAAAGGGCAATAGTTGCTACTGGGGGCTGAACATAATGGTGCATGCCTGTATTTCTAGCACCCAGGAGGCTGAGGCAGGAGGGTCAGGAATCCTGGCCTACCTGGGCTACAGAGTAAGTTTCAGGCCAACTTGGGCAAAAATCATGTCTCAAAAGAAGTAAGAGGGTTGGGCACCTGGCTCAGTGGTTGGGTCCCTATTGCCCAGAACTCACAAGTGAGGGTGTGGGAGTGTGGCTCCATGGCAGAGCCTGTGCCTGGAATCTACCAGTAAGGGGGTGGAGGTGGGCTCAGTGGTGGAGCTCCTGCCTGGAATCTTTCAGTGGGGCTTGGGGACGTGGTTTATAAGTTGCTCACGCAACATCAACAAAGCTTTACATTCCATTTCTCCCCAAACTACTGCACCAAGAAGGTGGAGTGGCTGTCTTCCATCTCTGGATGCCTTTTAAACAGAGAAAGGAGGTCCTGCATCCACCATTTCAGCAAGCCTTGGGAGCTTGCCATAATGTAACAGTACTTTAGAAACAGCATTGTATTTATTTTTACAGCTGCCTTATGTTTCCCTCAAGCGACATACAGCATTTAAATCATCTTTTTCTTTTTGATATAAAGTGTCACTGTTTAGTCTAGGCTAGCCTCCATTTCTGGATCCTCCTTCAGCATCCCAAGTGCTGGTATTACAGGCTTGAACTACCATCTAGCTGACTTCCTCCCTCCTTTTCTTTTATGAGACAAGAGCTTGCTATGTAGCCCAGGCTGGCCTTGAACTCACTATCCTCCTGCATCTGCTTCCCAAATGCTAGGGTTACAAGTGTATGCCTACAATTTTTCCACACCTGGAAAAATTCCTTTAAAAGACAATTCTCTAGTCTCTGCCTTTGGCCTTCATTTTCTCCAGCAAGTGTGTGTCTTGGGCAGATCTCTACTGCTGCCAGCATCAAGGGCAAAAATGGGATCTGAACACTTGATGGGTAAGGCGTATGAATGGGGGTAGCCTCGGTTCACTCAAGTTAATGAATCACTCAATTCTAAAACTTTCGGCTAAAACCAAAAGTAGGGGCTGGCAGCATGGCTCAGTGGATAAAGCCTAATGACATGAGTGTGATCTCTGGGTCCACTTGGTTGGCGGAAGGAGAGTACTGACCTCCACACAGGGGCCATGGCACACACTAACTAAGCAACTAACTAACCAACCAACCTACTAATTATGCAAATCAATCAATCAATCAACCAATCAAACTGCAGGTGAAGGGTTTAGACAGAGCCCTTGTTGATGCAGCAGCTTGAGGGGCCTAAAGTCTAGCTCACCCTCTCCCCATAAGCCCTGAATCTTGTAGTGGGGTGCATCACTGAAAGGGACCCACTTTTCACATTAGTTCAGAGGGAGCTGCAAAACTGGCTTAGTGGTTTAGATCACTTGCTGCTCCTCCAGAGGACTAACTAGTCCCCAGCACCCACATCAGGCAGCTCACTACCCTCTATAACCCCAGCTCCAGAGGATCTGACATTTCTGGCCTCTGTGGGCAAACTTGCATCCATGTGTACATACCCCTGTGCGCGCACATGCGCCACGCACACGCACACACACACACACACACACACACACACACACACACACACACACAAATCCACATATAATTAAAAAGAATAAAAATAGATCTAAAAATGTGTTCACAGGCAGTGTAGTGTGTTCACAATGTTGGCCTAGATCCACACATTTTCATCCTTGGAAAGGTTTGTTCAGAGCTGGGGAGACAGCTCAGTCTGCATGAGGACCCCCAGTTCAGATCCCCAGCAGCCACACAGAAGACAGGGGTGGTAACACATATCTCTAACCTTCGAGCTGTGGGGGATGCAGAGACAAGTAGGTTCCCGGGACTCACTAGCCAGCTAGTCTATCCAATGGGTGTGCTCAAAGTTCAGTGAGAGACCCTGTCTCAAAAAAATAAGGTGGTTGGGTTGGTGATATGGCTCAGCAGGTAAAGGTGCTTGTCATACAAAACAGGCTTCCTGAGTTCAATCCCCTGAATCCACATAAAGGTGGAAAGAGGGACTCAACTCCACAAAGTTGTCCTCTGTGCACTGTGGCATGCGCATCCCCCCACAAACACATGCACACTCAAGCACACACACAGATTTGTTCTAATCTCAGCGTGTGGTGGCACATGCCTGTAATCTTAGTACTCAAGAGGCTGAGACAGGAGAGTTACCGCAAGGTCAAGGATGACTTGGGCTATACTAAAAGAAAAATCCCATAAAAAGAGAATCCATAACTTGGGGCTGTGGATGAAGCTCAGTTGGCAGAGTGCTTGCCTGGCATGCACAGTACCGTGGGTTTGATCCCCACCACTGCATATACTGAGCATGGTGGTGCACACCTGAAAGCCCAGCACTTGGGAGGTAGAGGCAGGAGAATTAGAAGTTAGTTCTAGGCCATCCTCTGCCATACAGTGAATGTGAGACCAGCCTGGGCTACACAAGACTGTTTCAAATGAACAAGAGAAGTTACAGGCAAGATATAAAACATAAAGTTCAAATTACAAACAGGACAAAACAGTATTCTTCACTTTATTTTCCATGTTCTGTTCCTCACTTGCCAACACGTGTATAAAATTTGTCAGGCTGTGCTAGTAAAGGAGAAGCATGGGAGGCAGAGACAGGGCAGGGACTCAGCAGTCACAGTGGGCAGTCAGGTTAAGTGGGGCAGGCAGTGGCTGGGGGCCAGGGAGGGCCTCCTCCACCTGCACACCTTCCCACACGATGGTCTGCTCAGACAGTCCCCGCCCTAAGATTTGGTAAACATGGTTTACAGCCTTTCTGAGATCCCCAGTCCTTGTCCCCAACATTCATTTCACACCCCAGCCAGGAGGTAAGGTCTGCCTGGGCCAGAGACTGCAGCCCCTGGGTCACACGGTGCTGACCAATTGGGCAGCACCTAAGCAGCTGAGGCTAGGTGGGGACTACCCAGAAGTTCTTTCCAGGTTCTTTCCTTCTTGGAAATCTCTGCTTCAGCCACAGGCTCTTATACCAGGGGACAGTGAGGAGGTACAAGTGGCTTGGGAACATTGCAGTGGAAGTCCAGAACCTGCTTCTAATGTGTGTAGTCTGGACTCTTGAGGAAGGAAGGTTTGACCTTCCACCTGGAACACGACTTCCTGGCTTTCATTTGCACGTTGGTCCCATTGCCACTGTGACCCTGTGTCTATGACCACAGGCATTTGCACCAGAACCATGCCCACCCTCCGGCCTTTCATTCCAACAAGTATTTTCAAAGTTTATGTTACTTACAACAATTCATTGCCTTGACCAAGTTCACTGTATTGTGCAGATCAGTTTCCTTTCTTTCCTTTTTTTTGTTTTTTGTTTTTTTGTTTTTTTGTTTGTTTGTTTGTTTGTTTGTTTGTTTTTAGGCAGGGTCTCAGGTAACTCAGGCTGTCCAACTCACTATGTGGCTGAAGATGACCTCGAACATCTGATCCTCCTGCCTCTACCTCCCAAGTGCTGGGGTTACATGTGCCAACACACGTTTATATTTATATGAAGCTGAAGATGGAACCCAGGGCTTTGTGCTGGGAAAGCACTCTAACCAGATGAGCTATACCATCTGCCCCTCTTTTCAGTTCCACCTTAAGTATTCAGAATGATCCATTCATTTCCCAGCTCCCAACACATTGCACATTACATTTGCCGGTTAGTGTTTGGGCGTATCAAACCTCACAAATTATTTGCCACCGGGCAAGTTCTCAGTCCAATGTTCCCAGGATGGGGGGAAAAATCCGGTAGTCCCTCTCACCCACATGGAAATGTTCTCTTGTGCATGGTTTTGGGGGAAGAGTGAATCTGTGGACTTGGTGCATTGTGGGGTCAAGTTTGGGAAAAGATGGAAGTCTTCCTTTCTGAAGGATAATTCAAGATACCCAGAAAGACCTCAAATTGGAGTTAAGACCATGACCTAGGGTCCAGGTGTGGATGGCTCTCACACCACTCAGGGCTTCCCGGAAACAGAGGCTTTCTGGGTCCTTGTGGAGGCTCGGGAGGGCGCTGGCCTGGAAGACCGCAGCAGGCCCAGCCCTCGGGAGCGGCCTGCCCCGTGCAGCTGGCGCTCATGCTTGCGGATCTGCACCTTGTGCTGGAAGCGCTCCCCGCAGTCCTCGCACACATACGGCCGCTCACCCGAGTGGGTGCGGCGGTGGCGCAGCAGGTTGGAGGAGACGCTGAAGCGCTTGCCGCAGTCGCCGCAGGCGTAGGGCCGCTCGCCGGTATGGGTGCGCTGGTGCTGCACGAGCGCCGAGCTCTCGCTGAAGCACTTGGAGCAGTAGGTGCAGGCATAGGGCTTCTCGCCCGTGTGGATGCGCTGGTGGGTCACCAGGTTGGAGTGCTGCGAGAAGCCCTTGCCGCACTCGCTGCAGAGATACGGCCTCTCCCCAGTGTGCGTGGCCTGGTGTCGCACCAGGTCCGTGCTGCGGCTGAAACCCCTGCCACACTCCCCACAGATGGTCGGCCTGTCCCTGCCTCGCCGCTTCCTCCGCTGTTTTGTGGGCGTCAGAGCCTCATCCCCTGTGGAGCCCTGGATGGCCACCACAGTGGGTGTGGCCACAGTGGGCAGCACCATGAGCTCTTGCAGCACCACATAGCCTGGAGGGGCCACCACGACGGTGGCCGGAGATGGCGCTGCGCCACCTCCCAGAGCAGACACCAGCTCTACCTGCAGGTCGGGCTGCACAGAGGTCAGCTCCAGCTGCAGCTCTTGCTGCTGAGTGTACAGCTCCACCGGGGTCAGCTCCAGGTGCACCTCCTGTTGCTCCAACTGCTGCTGCTGCAGCTGCTCTAGCAACTGCTGTTGCTCCAACTGTTGCTGCTGCAGCTGCTCTAGTAATTGCTGCTGCTCCAGGTGCTGCTCCAGCTGATGCAGTTGCTCTTGCAGTTTTAGCTTCAGCTGCTGCTGTTCCTGCAGCCTCTCCAGCTCCTGCTGCCTCTCCAACTCCCGCCGCTGCCGCTGACGCTGACGCTGCCGCTGTCGCTGCCGCTGCCGCTGCTGCTCCTGCTCTGACCCCATGTCCTCTGGCAGGAGCTCCAGTGCTACCTCTTCCCCCTTGTCTGGCTCCAGTAGAGGAGGCTGCAGCTGCTGCTGGTGCTGCAGCTCTTCCTGCTGATGTTGCAACAACTGTTGCTGCTGTAACTGTTCTTGCTGAAGCAATAGTTGGTACTGTATCTGGGTCTGCTGCTGCTGCAACAGCTGCTGCAGCAACAGCTGCTGCTGTAGCTGTCCCTGTGGCTGCAGCAACAGTACCTGCTGCTGCAATTGTCCCTGCTGTTGCAACAGTAGCTGCTGTTGGAGCAGCTGCTCCTGCTCTAACTGCTCCTGTTGATGCTGCTGCAACAGCTGTTGTCCTTGCACTTGCTGTAATTGCTGTTGCAATGCTTGTTCTTGCACAAGCTGCTGCAACTGCTGCTGTAGCAATTGTCCCTGCTCTTGCAGTAGTTGCTGCTGTTGGAGAAGCTGCTGCTGTGACTGTTGTTGCTCTTGCATTGGCTGCTGCTGCAGCAAAGTCTGTTCTTGCAGTTGTTGCTGAAATAGCTGTTGCTGTTGCACTTGCTGCTCAAGTTGTTGTTCTTGTACTTGCTGCTGCTGCTGCAGCAGCAACTCTTGCCGCTGCACGAGTCGCTGCTGTTGAACTTGCTGCTGTCGACACTGTTCCTGCTGCTGTTGTAACAGCTGTTGCTCTTGGCCTTGGGGCTGCATCATCATCTGCTGCTGCTGCAACAATTGTTGCTCTTGTCCAAGTCCCAGCTGCTGTACCAACTGCAGCCGTGGTTTTGGTTCCTGATGATGCTCGGACTGGAAGTTTTCCTGTAGTTCTTGCTGCCCATCTTGCTGCTGCTGCAATTCTGGCTGAGATCCTAACAGCTGATGCGGAGGCTGCTGCTCTTGCAGCTCCTTGTGCTGCAGCTGTTGTTCCAGCTCTCGCTGCTGCTCTAACTGTTGCAGATGCAAGTCCCGTTGTCCTGACTGCACTGCCTCGATGCTGTTACTGGCCCCTACTGGGGCTGCGAGTGCTGGCGGCTGTGGGCTGCTGCTCCCCTCCTGAGCCTCTTCCTCCTCCTGGCTCTCACTCCCACCACTGCCACCTGTAGTGGAAATGGCAGGACGCCAGGAGAGAAGGATTGATGGACAGCTACCTGGACCAGACCCTCGAAAGAATGTACTCAAGATCCGCAAAAGGGCTCCTAGCAGGGACCCAAAAATGAGGGATTGAGTGACAATGATGACAAGACACACATTCCTAAGGTCCCACTGACCACCTCATTCAGACTCCCTCTGAGCCCACTTCATGCAGGCCCCATGCTTTGATACTAACACGAAGCTTTGGGCTCCTGACACCATTCCCTAAGAGGTCTTTAGTACCTCCTCCCCATTCGGGAGAAATCAGATATTGCAGCCCCTGAACTCTGACTGCATTTATGGTCACACTTTATTTATTTATTCATTTATTCGTTTATTTGTTTGTTTGTTTGTTTTTCAAGACAGGTTTTCTTTGTGTAGGCTTGGCTGTCCTGGAACTCACTCTGTAGACCAGGCTGGCCTCAAACTCACAGAGATCTGCCTGCCTCTGCCTCCCTGAGTGCTGGGATTAAAGGCGTGCGCCACCACCATCTGGTGATAGTCACACTTTAAGTGAAATTTGCCTTGTCTATGAATAGTGAATATTTCTGTAAAGATATAGCAAGCTGTTTCTAGAAAGCACTGAAGGAATTCAGGGGTCAGGTAGGGAGTCTGTGATTCCAAATTGGACTGAAGAGCCAGGCACAGCAGCCCACCTGTAACTCCAGTCTCAAGGGTGGAGAGAGGGGAATCCCTGGAGGAAGCTGGCTGGCAAGACTAACAGTATAGGCAAGCTTTGGTTTTGATTGAGAGACCCTGCCCCATTGACTAATGTGGAAGAGCAATCAAGGATGATTCATGACATCAACCTGGGGCCTCCAAACGCAGGGGCACACGTATCAATGCACACCCACATACATGAGTACCCAAATACAGACAAGAAACATGAAGACACACATACACACCACACATACCCACATACAAAAAAAATGTGTAGATAATTATCTTTTAGGGGAAAAAAATCTTTCCAATCACCTTTGCCTCATGAGTCCATTTAAAGACATCTGTGTGTCTTGTATGCTCATGTGTGTGCTTGTGGGAACGTATGTGCCACAGCACACCTGTGGAGGTCAGAGGACAACTTTGGGTGTCGGACCTCACCTTCTACTTTGAGGCAGGGTCTCTCGTCTTCCACTGTACAGGCCAGCCAGGCTAACTGGCCCTGGAGATTCTAAGGGATTCTCCTGCCATTGACTCCCATTTCACCATAGGAGTGCTGGGGTGACAGACATGGAGTACTATGCATGACTTCTGGGGATTCAGATCCTCAAGCTTGTAGGGCAAGCATACTCCCCATTGAGCTGCCTCCACAGCGCCTCAGGTGTATTTTTCAGACACACTTCCACGGAACAGCTGGGATGCTGGGTGGTAGATGAAGACAGCTATGGGACCTGTCTCTACAACAAGTTCAACTCCACCTCCTCTGCAGGGACAGACCTCACCTCTGTGTGAATCTCCACATGTCTAGCTTGGTCACGTGGTCACTCTGACTTCCTGGGACAGCAGTTTCCACAGAAGCATTTTATTGACCATGTAGTTAGATGTCACCTGAAGTGTATGCCTGCTAGAGTTAAATTGACAATCGGAAAGAGTTTTTGTTCAATTCATATGTTCTCATTTGATCATTTTATTTTTCCAATTTCTTGATATTCTCTCCTGTTCGTTCATTCTCTCTCTCTCTCTCTCTCTCTCTCTCTCTCTCTCTCTCTCTCTCTCTCTCTCTCTCCCTCTCTCTCTCCCCCCCCCACTAGTGTCTCATTGTATAATCCTTGCCTGCACAGCCCAGGCTGTCAAACTGGGACCCTCTTGCCTGAGCCTCCCAAGTTCTGGGATTCCAATTATGTGTTGCCATGCCCAGCCCTCCCTGGTTCTCTCTCTCAACTCCCTTCAAGACTGCCCCACACTGTCACTCAGCACCTTTTAAAGCACAGACTGTGAAAGCTAACTCTTGTACACCCTTGAGGGCCTACCCCTGCAAGGGGCTCAGGAAGAGCACTGGGAAGCTCCACAACACCATGGGTGCCTCTGGGTGGCAGGTGGAGGGAAAGAGATGGGAACAGATATTGGGGAAATGGGAACCAGGGTCAAGGTTACTACAGGCAAGAGGCCATGCAGCCAGTGTCTGAGGCACCAGAGACAGAAAAACCCTCCAGCCCCATGGGAGACAGTGGAGGCCACCTGGGAAAAGCAGGTTAGAGCAAGCCCAGATGTGGGACTCAGGGCTGAGGCTACTAAATCTGTCACAGTGTCTCCCTTGGCCTGACAGATACCTCAACAGGTCCCAAGTCAAGTTTCAGGGTAGTTGGGGTTAAGCAGGTGTTACTGTTGCTGGCCACACAGGGGTCCCTCTGTTTTGGTCTGGCCTGTGACAGCTTGCAGCTCAACTAAAGAATCCTTGCTGGGGGCCCCATTGTCTCCACCCCCCAACCCTCACCTGAGAGGGTGTCAGGTCCTGGACCCCCATCCTCAAGACATCGAAGCTCCAACACAAAGGTCATTGTTGTGGGGCCAAGCTCCATCCTGGCGATCCCACCAGGGTCCTGGGGAGCAGGCTGTGCTAAGAGGAAGAAAGGACGCTGTTCAGAAGGGAGATGGTGGTGGCTGAACCCCCTTCCTACACAGAATAACCAGAGCTTTTATTTGCTGGATATACACAGGGATCCACCTCAACTGACCTCACACCGAAACATAACTGTGGGAAACAGCCTCTCCCAAGGCTGGGAAGCTTGAGGCGCGCCTGAGGGTACCTATGGCACAGTCCCTTGTCCACTTCCAAAGCATGACCATCCCCTAAGCTTCGAAGGTCACATATGTCAGGTGTCATCCCAGATCCCTGGGAAGGTAGGTGTCCAGAGCACTGTAATCCATGGCTGGGGCCTTCTGCAGGCCTGTGCCCCTGTCCTCCGTCCACTCTGAAGAAGTGGTCTCCACAATCAGGCGTCCCCACTCCCCCATGCCAGCTGACTCCATCTCCCTCTGGCTTAGGAGCCCTCCTGTAGAGAAGCGCCCCTGAGCCCAGCAGGGCTCTCCCTCCAGGCCTCACCTGGAACAGCATTTCCCGCCGGCAGCAGCCTCTGCGCTAGGGGAGGTGTGGTCACCAGCGGCTACAAGGTGAAGGCCACGGCGGTTCAGCCAGCTCCTTCCTGAGGTGCCTCCATCTAGAATGAGCCAGGGAGGCTCTGACCACCCCCGGGGGAACCCTTTACCGGCACTTCACGGGATCTTCACTCTTAGAGCTGTCGAGGTCTCCCTGGGCCAAGACAAGGTGCAAAGTGGAGTTTCCAGGCAGAAGTTGGTGAAGGGACAGGGAAGAGCGGCAGGGCTCCAAATCCCGAGCTGGGATCATGGTTGGTTTGGGTGGCCATGGCGCGCAGCAGGGCCCAAGCTGGAGCCCTAGGTCGGCTCAGTGGGAACTGGGTGACAAGGGTCCTGGGTGATCTCGGGCCACAGGTGCTCAGGGGGCGGGGGGCGGGCGCCGCGGCCGGGCCAGGTCCCGGATCGCTCGCCCGCCCTCCGGTGCTGTGCGTCCGTGCGGGAAGCGGCTGGGCCGGGGCGGGGGCGCTGGGGGGCCGGCACAGGAAGTCCCCCCGGCATCCGCATCCTGTCTCCCGCCCCTGCCGCCCGCCGCGCCCCCGCGCCCCGGCCCCCGCCGCCACCGCCACCACCGCGGCCGCTGCCTTCGCCTTCGCCACGGTCGCCGCCTGCCTCTCTAGGCCGCGCCGCCAGCTCTGTGGGCTTAACCCTTCCCGGCCCGGTCACTCACCAGGGCCCCCCCCCCCCGGGCGGGAGGTGCGGGTGGAGATGGAGACAGGATGCGTGCGTCCCAGGGCCCGCCGGTGCTGGGCGCAGCGCACGCTGCAATGCATCGCCCGGTGCGGTGCGCGCGTCCGTGCGCCACGGTTGGCGACTGTCACTGAGGCTGCATGCATGGAAGAGGAAGGGGGTTCCCAGCCAACACCCCCACTGTCCTCTGAAGCGTAGGCGTGGCTTCAGGGCGCCCCTCCCCGGACGGGGTTACAAATTGGGTCTAATTGGCATTTAATCAGCCAGTTAATGGGGAAGACCCCTCCTGATTCCAGCAGGTCCAGAGCAGCCAACCCAGCCCACATCTGGACCCTTGAGTCGGCTAGGATAGACAGGTGGCGACTGTGCCAGCTCCATCAGGGCCACCTTCAGGAACTGGGGGACCCGTGGATATCTCTTTGAGTTCTTGCTTCCTCCAGTAGCCCCAGGCCCTGCCTCCTCCAGCTTCTATCCTTCTCCAGCCCTTCTTCGCGTTCTGCGCCACAGCAGTCCCAGTGGCTTCTCCCTGTTTGCTTGTTACCATACAAGTTGTTTCCTGTCTAGGAGTGGGATTTGGGGTGGGGTGGGGAGTGTTTCCTCCCCCGGGAGGCTTGAGCTGACCATCTGCATGTCCTCTCACTCATCTTTAATGGCAGTCCACAGGCTTCTCCCATCTGGAGAATTCACGTAAGAAGCATTGCCCAAGTTCTCTTGAAAAGAGGCTGGGGATGTGGCTCAGTTAGCAGAGTGCTTGCCCTGGCACTCAAAAAGCCCTGGGTTCCATCCCCAGTAGTGTCTAAAACCCACATGGTGGTACATGGCTGTCATTCCAGAACCCAGCAGGAGGATCAGGAGTCCTAGGTCATCCTTGGCTACATAGCAAATCTGAGGCCAGCCTGTCTGAAAGAAGGAGGAGGAGGAGGGGGAGGAGGAGGAGGGGGAGGAGGAGGAGAAGAAGAAATCCTGAAAAACTCAAAGATCTGGTAAACCAGAGCTGCTTCTGATGGAGATGTCCCCTGGAGGGGGACAAGAGCTCTTCATGTGATCACAGCCCCACTCTTCTTCCTGTCTCCCCGTTTACAGTGCAGTCTCGAATTCACATACCATTCCTGTTCCAGCAGACTTTCCCTGCAGCCAGGCTCAAAAAGCCTGAGTCTGAAGGGCTTGACTTGCAGACCAGCAGCCCACCTTGAGAGGCAAGGGTGCAGAAGGACACAGCTGATGCATTCAGCCACAGGTGCAACAGTAGGGACCCAGATTTGGAGGCAGGATAATTTGGAGTCACAAGGACCTCTGGTAGCCTAGTAGCACCATATAGCATTCCATTGGTGAGAGTGGAGGCAGGCTGGTAGGCAGCAGATAGGACAGCCGAGTAGTGAACATACAGGTGAAGGATGGGTGTGCATTTTCCCCTGGCCCTAACTGGATGGGAGCCTCTTCCAGAGACCTCAGTCTCCAATGTTTCCCTCCTCCCTGAATCTTGTGTGTGTGTGTGTGTGTGTGTGTGTGTCCACATGCTCAAAGAGACCAGAGGTTTGGATGCTTTTTATCACTCTCCAACTTATTCCCTTGAGACAGGGTCTCTCACTGAACCTGGAGCAAAGCCAGAAGCCAGTCAGCACCAGCATCCTCTTATCTCTGCTCCAGCCCAACCCTAGGGTTACAGGCACACCAGTATCCATGCCTGGCTTTTTACATGGATGCTGGAGATTCAAACTCAGGTCCTCATGCTCGCCCTGCAAACTTTTGTACCCGCTGTCCCCAGATCTTTCACCTCTCCCTCTCCTCTTCTGCTAGATTCTTTCCAGGAGTGTTTACACACCCACAGGACCTTTCCATCCTCAAAATAGGCAGTTCCCACTGCTCTCTCATCTGCCCATCCCTCCTTCCCTTCTCCCACCTGGCCTGAGCCCCATCACTTCCAGACAGCTCCCTCTCTCATAGCACCAGTCACCTCAATATTTGAAACCTTTTCTCCTACCCAGAGGCAACACTGCACACTTCTGCTGGCTGAACCTTGGTCTGCCTGACTCTGACCCCTTTGCAGACTTTTTGGGGATTCATGGAGGCTATTGCTTACTTTTGCATAATTATCATGTGCAAGAAGATGTCTTTGGGAAGCTATTATTTCCCTATGGATATTTCTCCTGTTCATAGCCTTTATTCTTTTTGTGCCTTTAAAACTGTGTGTGTGTGTGTGTGTGTGTGTGTGTGTGTGTGTGTGTGCAGAAACCAGATGTCAATATTGAATATCTTCCTCAATTGCTTTCCACCTTTAAAAAAGTTACATGTATTTATTTGTGTGTCTGTGTGTATGTGAACAATTGAGTGTAGGTGCCTGTGGGGGCCACAAGAGGGCATCAGATATCCTGAAGTTGGAGTTATAGGAGGTTGTGAGCCACCCAGCATAGAAGCTGGGATCACACTTGTCCTATGTAAGAGCAGCAAGTGCTCTAAACCTCTGAGGAATCTCTCCAGCCCATCTCTACCTTATTTATTTATTTATTCATTTATTTATTCATTCATTTATTTATTTATTTTTTACATAGGTTTCTCACTGATTAACTAGACTGTGTCTGCCCCCCCAAGCACAGTGAGTACAAGCCCACACCATTGTGTCTGGCTTTTAGACGAGTGAAAGCAAGAGGGATGTAGCTTAGTTGGAGCATGCTTACCAAGCAGTGCAAAAGCCCTGGGTTTGATACCCAGCACTGACCAAAACATTGCTTTCCTGTGAGTTGATCTAGTGCACAGCAAACATGAGGAGGCCATGGGAAATCCTGACTTTGTAGCCAGTTGGCCAGAAGCCTGGGTGGACCGGAGACCCTGGAACTGGCAGCTTGTGTCTGAAATGAGGTTAGTTTCATTGGGACTGTGCCCCTAACCTTTGTAGTCTGTGCTGATTCTGGTGGTTCCTGTTTTACTGCATCTTTGGGTGAACGCATGTTTACTGTTTCCATAGTTACACTTATGGAATTGTCTTTGGGGATGAGCCCAGGAATCTTCTCATGAGTTTCCTTCTGTTCTAACCATTCTGGTGTTAGCGTCCCCACTATTTTCTTTTTATTTGTATTGATTCATTCTTGATTTCTCTTGGCAACTCCTCCCACATCTTTCTTGTGGGGGTGGGGCTCTAGCAATAATTCTTGTCTCAGCTTCATGCCCAATCTAACTGATTAGAAATTTGTGCCAGGTGGTGGTGGCGCACACCTTTAATCCCAGCACTAGGGAGGCAGAGACAGGTGGATCTCTGTGGGTTCGAGGCCAGCCTGGTCTAACAGAGCAAGATCCAGGACAGGCACCAAAACTACACAGAAAAACCCTGTCTCAAAAAATACCAAGAAAATAAAAAGAATTTTTTTTCTTTTTGGTTTTAAAATCACATTTACTTACTGGAGGTGGGGAGTGTGCCACAGCATATCAGTCCTCTCTTTCTATCTTGTGGGTCCCAGGAATCAAACTCAGGCTGTCAAGCTTGGTAATAAGCACCTTCATCCACTGAGCCATCTCACCAGCACTACGTTTGATTTTTTTCTTTTGTTTTTTTATTTTTATTTTTATTTTTTTTTTTTGGAGACAGGATCTCTCTATGTAGCCCTGGCTATCCTGGAACTTGCTCTGTAGACCAGGCTGGCCTCGAACTCAGAGATCTGCCCGTTGAGGCAGTCTTGTATTTCAGACTAGCCTCAAATTCACTGTGTAGACTTCTATCTCCCCAGTGCTGAGATACAGGCATGGACCACCATGCCCAGTTTATACAGTGCTGAGGACTGAACCCAGGGCCTCATAAATGCTACACAAACACTCTATCAACTGAGCTACATCCCAAGCCTCCTTTTATAAAGTTTCTGGTGGGTATTTTGCCATGAAGAGACAGAGAGTCACCAGTTTCTATACAACTGGGGCAGTTACAGCCACTACTGGAAATGTGGTGATGAAGGAGTCTAGAGTCACTAGTCACCACTGGTGGCATTCACTGTGGGTCCCATTCCGTCTAGATCCTGGCCAAGACTGCCAGAAGAACTCTGGAGCTGAAAGCAGCCAATCGGCCAGTGACCAGAGTAGCCACACACGTGTCATAGATGTTGCAAGATGTTCAGGCTTCCATAGGGGCCTGAGTTGTGGACATGAGGCTACAGAGTTTTGTGTGGCCGGAGGAGTGAGATCAATCCTCAGTCAGTCTTTGTTTACTGAAACTGTGAAGACAGGACAGCCCCTACCCTGGTGTCACAGGACTGTTTGTAGTCCTCTGCCCTCCAGGTAATCCCAAACTCAGGATACGCACAAACAAGGTGGGAATGGACTGTTGAATTGGACACCTGCCTTGAACAGTTACAGCTCAAAAAAACAAAACAAAAAAAACACAAAAAACACAAAAGCCAGCTGCATGAAGATCAAAAAATAACATGTGCTGGGACAAACCCAGAACCTCAGCACAGTGGAGGTGGAGGTAGGAGGTGCAAGGTCATCCTCTGCTATATAGTAAGTTCAAGTTCAAGGCTAGCCTGGGGTATATGAGGTTTTGTCTAAAAATAATAACAATGATGACAATAATAATAATTTAAGACAGTAAGTACTGGAGAAATGGCTCAGTCGGTAAAGTGCCTGCTACAAGGGCCTGAGTTCAGATCTCCGGCACATATGTAAAGAGCTGTCAGGGGTGCAGTGTGGTGGATATTATTTTAACTAGGCAAAGATGTGTTACATTTGTTTCTGCTGCCTTTGTTAATGATTTAAAGATGTGTTAGTTTGTTTCTGCTGCATTTAATTATTTGAAGATGTGTTACTGTGTCAACTTCCTGCCCAAAGCACCTGATTAGTCTAATAAAAAGCTGAATGGCCAATAGCTAGGCAAAAGAGGGATAGGTGGGGCTGGTGGGCAGAGAGAATAAATAGGAGAAATCTAGGCTTGAGAAGGAAAAGGAGGAGGAGAGGGACACTCCCAGGGCCAGAACCTAAGCATGGGAGGGAGGGAGGGAGGGAGGGAAGAAGGGAAGGAAGGAGGGAAGGAAGGAAGGAAGGAAGGAAGGAAGGAAGGAAGGAAGGAAGGAAGGAAGGAAGGAAGAAAGGAAGAAAGGAAGAAAGAAAGGAAGAAAGAAAGAAAGGTAGGTAAAAAGCCCTGAGGCAAAATGTAGATGAAGAGAAACAGGTTAAGTTATAAGGGCTAGCAAAAAAATGAGCCTAAGCTAGGCCGAGCATTTATAACTAATAACAAGTCTCCATGTCATGATTTGAGAGCTGGCTGGTGGCCCCAAAGAAAAAGCCTGGTAGAGTGAGGACAGCAGGATCACTGGGGCTCACTGGTCAGCTAGTCTAGCCAAAAATCTTTGAGCTCCACGTTCAGAGAGAGAGACTGTCTCAAGAGAATAAGTCAAAGTGTGATAGAGATGGACACCAGGCATCTTCTTGGCCTCTACATATGTGTACACAAACAGGTGCACACACACACAATATACCACATGGATGCACCATACACATACACTGTATGCATGCACACATGCACACATGCGTGAACAGATGGAAAGAACCTTATTTCCATCTCGGTGTTGCTGTGTTATTTCTCTCACTGCTGTGATCAAATGTCTGACAAGAAGCAATTAAAGGGAGGAATGGGAAGTTCTGGCTCACACTTTGAAAGGGGAAGTCAGGGCATCATGGCAGAAGGCACCTCAAATGTGGCAGCACGATGAGGCTGCCTGCCCACATCTGGGAGGATCAGGAAACAGAGGCCAGGCAGGACTTGGTCCGGGTGTGGCTATAAACCTCAAGGCCCACTTCCTGAAACTGACCTTCCTCCATCTATTTCCCATTTCCCAAAGGTTGTACAGTGTCCTAACACAGCACCACAACTGGAGACCAAGTGTTCAAACTCAGGAGCTTGTGAAATGTGGGAGTCTGAATGTAATTGGCCCCATAACCTCATAGGGAGTGGTACTATTAATTGTGGAGTGGTTATGGCCTTGTTGGAGGAAGTGTGTCACTGTGGGGGTGGGGTTTCTGGTTTCCTATGCTCAGGATACTGCCCAGTGTCTCAGTCAACTTCCTGTTGCCTACAAGATGTAGGACTCTCAGCTCCAGGGTGTCTGCTCCCTGTCATGATGATAATGCACTAAACCTCTGAACTGTAAGCCAGCCCCAATTAAATGTCTTCTTTATAAGAGTTGCCATAGTCATGGAGTCTCTTCACAGCAATAGAAACCCTAACAAGACATGAAGACACTTCACATTCAAACTGTGACACTTGTCAGTGCTCACCTGACCAGACACCCACATTTATCAGCAATCAGCTCTATGTTCTCCAGTGTGGTGCAGCACTCAGTTCTTCCTAGAGTCTCATCCTGGCACACAATGACGCCATTGGACCAGTCTCTGAAGACTTAGGTGTTTACAGTCAGGTGGCGTGTGTGATGGCTGTTTGTGTGTGTTGGCTAACTTGATAGTCTAGACCAGTGGTTCTCAACCTTCCTAATGCTACAACCTTTTAATACAGTTCCTCATGTTGTGGTGAACCCCAGCCATGAAGTTATTTTCATGGTTGCTACTTCATAACTGTAATTTTGATAGTTATGAATCATAATGTAATATCTGATATGCAGGATCTCTGATATGCAACCCCTGTGAAAGGATCATTTGATCCCCCCCGCCAGGAGTATGACCCATATATTGAGAACCACTGTTAGAGAGTCACCTGGGAAGAGAGCATCAATGAGCAACTGTTTAGATTAGGTCAGCCTGTGGACACACTTGTGAGGGATTTTTAACTGGGTTGTGATGGTGAGCCCCACCGTGAATGTGGGCAGCACCATTTCATGGGCTGAATCTTGAAGAGCGTGAGCTGAGCACTAGTGTGCATTTATTCACTCTCTCCACTCCTGACTGTGGGTGTGATGTGACCAACTGTTTCAAATTCCTGACGCCTTGGCTTCTCTGCACTGACGGAATGTGGCCTGGAGTCATGAGCTAAAGAAACTCTTTCTCCCTTAAGTTGCTTTTGTCAGGGAATTTTATCACAGCTATGGGAAAGAAACAAAGACACCTGTCTTCTATGGATAGCTACTCAAGCAATTTTTTTTCCTAATTAAAAGAATTCTGCACTTAGCAAGTGGGTACAGTGAATCCCATGAGAATTGGCATGTGCAAACTAAAACTTACATACAAATGTCCATGGTGACTGTGGTGATTTGAACAGGAATGGCCCCCAGAGACTCCTGTGTTTGAAGGCTTGGCCCATAGGGAGTGGCATTATTAGGAGGTGTGGCCCTGTTGGAGGAAGTCTGTCCCTGTGGAGGCAGGCTTTGAGGTCACATATGCTCAAGCTAGGCCTAGTGTGGCAGGTGTAGTGGTACACACTTTGAATGCCAGCATTTAAGAGGTAGAGACAGGCAGATCTCTATGAGTTCTGGGCCATCTAGGGCTACACAGTGAGAACTCTTCCGTAAATAAATTGATAACTAAAGGCTGTAAAGATGGCTCAGTGGTTAAAAGTACATGCTACTCTGGTAAAGGATCCAAGTTCAGGTTCTCAGTACCCAAGTCAGGCGGCTCACAACAGCCTGAAACTCCAGTTCAGATGCCCTCTTCTGGCCTCTGAAGGTACTACTGCACACACATGGTGAACAGGCATACATGCAGACAAAGCACCGCCACACACAACAAAATCCTTGAAAACTTCAGACCAAATGAAGGAAGCCAGGCACAAAGCCACATTCTGTGCAATTCTCTATATATCTTCAGAAAAGGCAAACCCATACAGAAAAAGGGGATGGGCGTTGCCCAAGAGAAGTAAGTGCTGAGGTGTATGGGCATCTTTTGGGGATACTGAAGGATTCTATAACAGGTGATGCTGGAATGGCCATGTGGGGATACAGTAAGAACCACTGCACTGTGCGTTTCAAGTGGATCAACTGGGTGTGTGAATTCTAGCTCAAACTGCTACTTACAAAGCAAACACTGGGGATCAGGAGGATGGCTCAAAAATGTTGCTTGCTACCAAGAGTGTCAACCTGAGCTTAACCCTGGAACCCACTTAATAGAATAATGTTGTAGAATATAATTATTTTTGCTTTTGTTTTTTTTAAGACAGGATTTCTCTGTGTGATTTTGGTACCTGTCCTGGATCTCACTCTGTAGACCAGGCTGGCCTCGAACTCACAGAAATTCACCTGGCTCTGCCTCCCAAGTGCTGGGATTAAAGGCATGCATCACCACCACCTGGCTTGTGGAATATAATTTAAGATGTGTTACATTCTGTGGAACATTTGTTTAATGGTGCAAAGATGTGTTGCATTCTTTTATGTTGCATTTGTTTAACTCTGTAAAGCTGTGTTACTTTGCCTGTCTAAAACACCTGATTGGTGTAATACAGAGCTGAACAGCCAATAGGTAGGCAGGAGAGAGAAATAGGCAGGGCTGGCAGACAGAGAGAATAAATAGAATGAGAAGAGAGGGAAGAGTGAAAAAAGGAAAAGAAGGATGCCAGGGGCCAGCCACCCAGCCACCCAGTCAGCTATGGAGTAAGAAGGAAAGAAAAGTAGAATAGAGAAAGGTAAAAGCCCAGAAGCAAAAGTTAGATGAGATAATTTAAGAAAAGCTGGCAAGAAATAAGCCCAGCTAAGGCCAGGCATTTATAAGAAAGAGTAAGTCTCCGTGTATTTATTTGGGAACTGGGTACCAAGCCCCCAAAGAGTAAAAGAGTTAAAAAAAAAAAAAAAAATCAACTACAGGATAACCAATGCCCACAAATTGTTCTCTGATCTACACACACACACACAAATAAAATTTAATAAATAAATAAATAAATGCAAAAGAAGTTCAAGGTCATCCGTGATTGTTATAGAGTTCAAGCTAAGGCTGGGCTATACAAGACCCTGTTTTGAAAACAACAACAAACAAAAACAAACAGGGCTGGAGAGATGGTTTAGCAGTTAAATGTGCTTGTTGCTCTTCCAAAGGACCTGAGTTCAGATCCCAGCACCCATGTCAGGCTGCTCACTGTGGTGATATTTTGTTTGTACTCTAACAAATAAAATTTTCCTGAAGATCAGAGGACAGAGCCAGCCACTAGATTAAACACAGAGGCCAGACAGTGGCTCACACCTTTAGTCCTAGCACTCAAGAGGCAGAGATCCGTTTGGATCTCTGTGAGTTCAAATCCACCCTGGACTACTCGAGATTAATCCAGTCTAAGAACAGAGCCAGGCAGGAGTGGCACACACCTTTAATCCCAGCACTTGGGATCTCATGCCTTTGCTCCCATTATTTGGGAAGCACACACGCCATTAATCCCAGCACTAGGAAGGTTAAGACAGGAAATATAGCTGGCGGAGAAAGGCATATAAGGCGTGAGGAGACAGGAACTCAGTCCTTTCGGCTGAGGACTCAGAGGCATTCAGTCTGAGGATTCGTGGAGACAGGATCTTCCTTTTCCCGCTGAGGAGTTGGCGAGGTGAGAAGTGGCTGTGGCTTGTTTCCTCTGATCTTTCAGCATTTACCCCAATATTTGGCTACAGGTTTTTGTTTTGTTTTGTTTTGTTTTTTTTCGAGACTGTCCTGGATCTCACTCTGTAGACCAGGCTGGCCTCGAATTCACAGAGATCCACCTGGCTCTGCCTCCCCAATGCTAGGATTAATGACGTGCACCACCACTGCCTGGCAGCTCCGGGTTATTACAAGACCAATTAGGATTCGTGCAACAGCTCACAACCATGTGTAACTCCAGCTCCAGGGGATCCAATGCCTTCTTCTGGCTTCTGTGGATACCTGCACTCAAGTACACATACCCCCACACAGACACATATACATACATGTAATTTAAAAGTGACCAGAAACTCCCAAAGGAACCATTGTCCTAGGTCCGAGTCTAGACCAGGCAAGTTTGGTGGAGGCCACACTGCTCGGAGAGTAACTGAACTTGGAAACTACATGAGAACGGATGGTTCTTTCTGAAACAGTGTGCACCAAAGCCAACCTCCCAGACCAGACCATCAATTATCTCTTCAGCCTCCAGGAGGCATCCCAGAGAACAGACATTCTTCAGTTCCATGTTAACAGGTTTACACATAACTATGAAAGACATTTAAGAGGGAACAATAGCGCCAAGCCCCACCCCTTTTCAAAGCCTTTAGATATAGTTCATGGCTCTTTCAACCGTTTTTGTCTTGTTGTTTGAGGCTCGGTCTCATGCATGCTGGCCTCAGCCCACTATGTAGCCAAGGATGACCTTGATGACCTTGAATCCCCCGTCACCACCTTCTAGGTGATGCGATTACAGGGGTGCCCCCACATGCCACTTTGTGTGTGCATGTGCACATGTGTGTACAGATGCAGGTACATGCATACAGAGGCCAGAAGACAACCTTGGGTGTTGTTCCTTATTTTGATGTGTTTTGCTGTCACTGACCTGGAATTCATCAAGCTGGCTAGACTAGCTAACCCATACACATCAATTTTTTAAAATATATATATTCCACAGAGCTGGGAGTGCAACTCATTGAAAAAACACCTGCTAAGTATGTGCAACACCATAGGTTTGAATCCCAGCAGCACAAAAAGAAAATTCCATAATGCCTATAAAACTGTTTAGAAAAAATTTATTTTCAACACATGAAAGGAAAATTTAGAGATACCTCCAAATAAAACACAGAAGATCCTTTCCAAGGTGACGGGGAATCCCAACAGGTGTCCCTGAGCAGTGCCCAGTGCTGCATACAAGCGTGGGTCTCTCCCTCCGCACTCTGAGCTCATGGAGCTGCCGAAAACTTGGGTTAGTGGCAGAGACACGTCACATTCCTGAGGCAGGGCACATGGACCCGAGAGGCGGCTTACCCGCCAGCATTCCCTGGTGGCGGGCTGAGAGTGTCTGCGCGTGAGAGACGCCATCACTCTGGGACTGGCATATTTAAAACCACCCGCAGAGCTCCCTGCAGCGGGCTGAGTGCGCTCCCTTTCATCCATCCAATCTGGATAGTTAACATGACCAGGTAGGAAGCACCCAGGCAACAGCAACTTGGGACATCAGTACCAAGATGGTTCTGCCCGCTGGAAGGACCACCTGCTGCCTTCCAGGGGTCCTTGTTCATGGGGCCAGCACCCCTCTCTGAAGGCTTCCTTGGCCCAGGTGCAAGGCACACAGCCGCTTGGCGGCTCAGAATGGCCAGCCTAGCGGATGGGCCTGAATGGAAATGTTACGCCTGAGATGAAGGTGTGCCCTGGGTGCGTAGGCATGGCTGGGTGGGCAGCTGGGTGGGCTGGCACAGCCCCATAGGCAAGCGGGGGTGTGTGGATGTGCGGGTAGAACCCAGGGGGAAGGGCGGTGTGTGGCGACTGCTGCACTGGGCCTGAGATCACCAGCTGGAGCAGGCTGCAAACACAAGGAGAGAGATTAGGACCAAGGCCCCAAGCCCAGTGTGACCACTTGGGCCTCTGGCCTGTTCTCCCAAACTGTACAAGTCTGATAGCACAGGCCTGTCATCTCAGCACTCCAGAAGCTGTTCTGTATCCCTGCACCTGGTGCCTCACACATCTCAAGAGTCAGGGGCTCCTGGCAGGTGAACTTGAAGCACAGGAGACTGGGGAAGGGAATGAAGCGATTTGCAGGATCTAGGCCAGGACTGAAAGAGAAGGACCTGCAGGGATAAAGCTACAAGCCCACCAAGGATGGGTAGAGGCGGTCTACACTGGGAACCATGGGCCATGTGAAACTATCCATGTGACTGATATCCATACCCCTCAACCCTCAGAACTTGAGGCTCATGGAAGTAGCCTCTGTGCTGGCTAGTTTTATGTCAACTTGATACAAGCTAGCGTTATCAGAAAGGAGGGAGCCTCAGTTGAGAAAATGATTCCATAATACCCGACTGTAGGGCACTTTCTTAATTAGTGACTGATGTGGTGGGTCCAGCCCATTGTGGGTGGTGGCACCCCTGGGCTTTCTATAAGAAAGCAGGCTGAGCAAGCCAGTAAGCAGCACCCCACTCCATGGCCTCTGAATCAACTCCTGCCTCCAGGTTCCTGCCCTGCTTGAGTTCCTGTCCAGACTTCCTTTAATAATGAACAGTGACATGTCAAGCCAGGTGGTGGTGGCGCACACCTTTGATCCCAGCACTCGAGGGGCAGAGGCAGGCGTATCTCTGTGAGTTTGAGGCCAGCCTGGTCTATATAGTGAGTTCCAGGAAAGGCTCCAAAGCTACACATAGAAAGCCTGCCCCCCCCCCCAAAAAAAGTGTAAGCCAATTAAAATAAAGCCTTTCTTCCCCAAGTTGCTTTGGTCATGGTGTTTCATCACAGCAATAGTAGCCCTAACTAAGACAGCTTCCATGCCAGCCTGGGCCAATGGCCATTCACAGCGCCGAGGACAGCAACATGGCCATCAGAAAAATGTCAATTCTGATTGAGTCTTGACTGCATTCCATACATAAGCCCCACAAAAGTGGCTTTTCAAATGACCCTGAGATCTAGAGTCCAATGCATCTCAGCCCCTGGTAAGCTGAGGCGCCTACTCCCCAGCCCCAGAACCCTCTAGGCCAGCTCACACCTTCCCCACTCAGGACCCCGAGGCTCTATTGTGAACCTCACCAGCACCTCTTCTTCCTTCCCTTTCTACATGCCCATCAGTGCTGGTTTGAAACTCTGGTTCCTTTCCAACTGTTGGCATGATCAGAACCTCCCCCTGCTCTAAAGCTGAGCACATCCATCTTCCTGAACTCAGTCTGCCGACCAGCCCAGACTCTCCCTACTGAGGTCACAGGCCACCTCCAGCCTCCAGCTTAGGTCTCTGCTACTGACACAAGATCTCTGCTCACTCCTGTCCAGACTCCCTGAACCTCAGCCTGGCCATGTGCCTGGAGTTCATGCTGCTCTCTCTCATCACCAAATCCAGCCTTCCAAGTGGTCCTCTCACCCACCTGGCCCCTAATTCCACCATGCTGCACCTCCCAGCATGTTGTCTATATGATACGGCTGTACGCAGTGACAGCCTGCCCCCAAGTGGACCTTCCTGCTCTTTGGATGCTGTCTTATCCTTCCCTAAGGGAGATGGTGGACCTGTCACAGACCTTCCTGCAGCATACATGACCTAGCGCCCACAGGAGATCTCAGACAGTACAGAACACTGTGGGTGTGAAGAGAGCTGGCACAGTTAAGGGGCCAAAGCTCCTCTAAGGACTTTCAAAACCCCAAAACCAACAACAAAAGCCACACAGATTTATTTTTATTTTATGTGTATGGATGTGTAGCCTGCAAGTATGTCTGTGAACCACATGCATGCAGTACCCACAGAGGTCAGAAGAGGGCATTAGGTCGTCTGGAACTGGAGTTAGAGCTGGTTTTGAGCTGCCATGTGACTGCTGGGAAGCCAACCCAGGTCCTCTGCAAGAGCAACAAGCGCTCTTAACCACTGAGCCACCTCTCCAGCCCCTCTCAGCTATTCCATTTACATTATATTTTCTTTTTGTTAAAATAACTCTGGCCAGCAGGGCCGTGGTGGTGCACATCTTTAATCCCAGCAGGCTGAGTTCAAGGCCAGCCTATTCTAGAGTGAGTTCTAGGCTAGCCAGGGCTATGCAGAGAAACTCTTTCTCAAAAAAACTAAAAACCCAAAACCAAACCAAACAAAAACAAAAACCTCTGGGCAAGAAGCTCAACTAAAACATTTACAAGCCAAGTGATTCCAGGCCAGCCTGGGCTACATGAGACCCTGTCTAAAAAAAAAAGAGGGTCTGGAGGGATGGCTCGGCGGTTAAGAGCACTACTTGTTCTTCCAGAGGACCAGAGTTCAATTCCCAGCAACCACACAGTGGCTCACAACTACCTGTAATGAGATCTGGTGCCCTCTTCTGGTCTGCAGGTATACATGCAGGTAGAGCACTGTATACATAATAAATAAAGAAATCTTTAAGAAAGAAAAAAGAAAAAGAAAAAAACAATGTATCAAGCCAAGAGAGCAGCACTACAGTTGCCAAAAGTTTCTTCCAGAAGTTTCCTGTCTGGTTGGACAGTCAACCCAAACCAAAACGTCAGAACTCACAGCAATCCAAGTGAGATTCAGTGTCTTCTTTCCCATATAATGACTGTGACTAGGGAGAGACCCATGGGGCAGAGGAGAGATTTTCAAGCAGCATTTCATCTTTCCTTCGCTGTCACCCCATGAGGCAGACACCATTACCAACCCAGAGGGAAATGAGACTCAGAGACACATACAGAGACTGCCCAAATGCCACCAAAAATCTCTCAGAAGCCAGGACCCTGCTGAGGGAAGCCACCAGCACACCTGGCTGTCGGGTGGTAGCCCTGTCCCTTTCAAATAGAGATGTAACTTGAAGTCACCAGAGAGTGACAGCATACCATCCTTAGAACATAGCAATTTTGGCTTCACTTCTAAGGACGGAGTCACAGAAGTGAAATGCCCGGGTTCTAAGAGGGACAGCAGCTTACTCAGACACCATGACCAAGCACTGCACTAACAGAAGCATCCTGATTTAGCAGCTTGCGGTGACAATGGGAGGGAGCACACTGTGGCCTCGCCCACTCCAGCAACAGGGCCACTCTGAGAGCCTGTTCTTCCCTGCAGAAGGCTCATCAGTGGGAACCCTGCCCCCTGCAGCCCAGCTTTTCCCAGGACCGAGGGGTCTGTCCTGCTTTGCCTCCTACCATCCCCACCCTGTTCCAACAGCACCAACCCACTTAGAGACTGGGACACCTACTTGTTGTGGGGTAGCCGGGAGCACAAGGTTCTCAGGTCATCTGAAACCAAGGAGACATGAGATTAGATCTGGGGAGACCTGGGTGCTGAGGTCTTAACAAGAATACCGCACAGACAGCAACAGGGACTGTCGCAGCAAGTTCCCAGCCTCCTTAGAAAGCTGGGTTCTCCTGTGTGGCAGTTTTCACTTTACATAACAAACCCCAAATGGAAGGAACCATTTGGGAAGGGGTTAGCCCTACTGACAATTTGCTGACCATCTGGAAAAGAGCCCGAAGTCAGGGCTCTCATCGACTTACCAAATGCCGAGTAAGATGGGGACTCATCACTGGTGACCCTTTAGCTGAGGATGCAGGCAACAGTCCATCAGACAGCAGACACGGGGCCACCGCCGCCGCAGCTCAGGGGAGAGTGCTCACCTTGCACGCACGAGGCCCTAGCTCAGTCTCTAGTACTGCCCGCCCTCCCACCAAAGGAGGACACCAGACAGCAAACATATCTGGGCATGCTGGCTCACTCCTGCATTCCTAGCACTCAGGCAGAAAAACTGCCATGAGTTTCAGGCTAGCCTGAGCTACAGAGCAGGAGCCCCCTTACCCCCTCTCTCTGTCTCTCTCTCACACAGACCCCAAACTTTAGTCCTCCAGAGGAAACGTTCTGTGTACTCCAGCAGCCCTGTGCCAAAGAGCCAGGCAATATCTAAATGTCCTAGCTAGAGCACATTAGCACTGATGAGGGGACTCTGGGGGATATTCTAGGACTTTCCACCAGCCTCCCTTGTAGTCACCAGGATGGGTGGGGAGCAAGTCCTAAAATAAGTCCTAAAATAAAAAAAGGTGGTGTCTGTCTAGGATGCCCTGTCCTTTCTGCCTACACCATGGGGCCACGGGATCAGCACTCACCTCTCGTGCAGAGCAGGGCTCCTGATGCCATGGCTACCTGCAATGCCTGGGCCAAGCGGTCCAGTGCGAGCTCGATCTCCTGGGAGGCATTGAGGGGGTTCAGTTCATCTGCCAGTCTGTTGATCTCCTCTACAAGTGGGACCATGTGGTCAAACAGGATGAGTCCCAGGCGCCCATACAGATTCTTCTCAGTCAGGTGCAGCTGGAGCGTCATAAGGACCTGCAGGACACTCAGGTGGAGCTTCGAGTACAGCAGGTGTGAGTCTCTGTCCGTGCCTGTGCCTGAGTCCTTGGCGGCTTTGTGACCAATGTGGCCGTTGGAGAGGCAAGGCTTCTTCCTTTTGTAAGCCAGAGGGGCCTTCACGCACCAGCGGATCAACCCAATGAGGGGTGTGAGCTCTAAGAAGCCTATGGGCAGGTTGGCAGCAATGGGAGTATTTAAAAACGTGATGAGAATCAACCTCGGGTCCTCGAAAATCCAGCTGACAATCATTTCAAGCAAGTCCAAAGGTGGGATGAGGTCATCTGCAAAGAGACATTCAGTTGGGAATGGTTCTGGCCTTGGAGACAGGAACAGAGTGGACAGTGGGCGATGGATGGAAGTTTATGGCCTTCCTCTGGTGCTCAAATGTCTACTGCCCAAGTTCCCCCATCTTCCACCTTCTCTCCTACACCTGCTCCATGGGTTAACGTCCTTTCCCCAGTGTCCAGGACCCTATGGCCAAGGTCAAGCCTCAAAAAACAAAAACAAAAAAAACCCACAAAACTCAAAGCAGCCCAGTAAGCTGAACTCCCTTGAACTCCATCACTCCCCCACACATGTATTTATTTAGTTTTTTGGAGGAGGTGGCTTGTGTGCCGCGGGGCATATGTGGAGGTCAGGACAACCTGCAGAGCCCTTCTCTTTCCCCCTTTATGTGGGTCCCAGGGGTTGAACTCAAGTTGTCAGCTGGGTGGCACATGCTTCGACGCACTGAGCCATCCCACCCATCAGCTCCTAGCTCAAAACTACTGGCATACTTCATCTGTCTCTGGGTATAGCTTTCTACCCTATATCCAGTGTCTCCTCCATAGTACAGTGAGAGCTATAGTGGCCTTCAGAGAGTAGCTTGGAGTCTTGTCAGACATCTACCAACTGCCAAAGGCCACCTCAACTCCAAAGCTGGAACCCTTATCAACAAACCAGCTGGACTCCTGAACAGCATTAATGAGGACAGAGTTGGCACTAACTCTGGGCCTATTATGTGTTAGGTGCTGGTCCTGGTCCTTTATAAAGACCCAACCACTTAATCCACACAGCACCGCAGACTGCTGCCCCAGAAAACAGAGGCAAGGTGCTGTTGAGTCCTTTCTTGGGACTCACTAGAAGCACACGGTGGGCTTGTATCTGAGCCTGGCTTTTATGCCACCAGGCTACACTGCCCAATTTGCAATCAGCTGGTATGTGCTCAGGCTGGCTGTGGCCCAGCCTCCTCTCTGGGAAGAAGCATTCTCAGCTCACAGGAAAACAAAGCATGACAGAGTCCCTTCCTATGCTCTGCTCAAGCATGGCAGGGAAAGACTTGGGAAGCATAGCACATGCTCCCTCTATTAGAATAAGGTTTCCAGCCTTGTCTCCTCTGCAAAGACGGTCCTTTCTCAGACTGTCCCTACTCGGTGGTACACGTGTCCCTCCAGCAATAGGTAGCAGCTGTAGTCTACAACCTCCCTATGGCAGTTCTGCCTCTGTCCCTCGATTCTCCAAGGAGTTTCTCTCTGAGTAATGCCATGTACATTTCCAACATGTTCCCAGGCCTCAGTAGAGACACTCACAGTGGCCAGAAGGCAGCATGTGCATAGGTGAAGGTGTGCATCTGTGCTCTGGGCATGCACGCACAGGGCACATGCTTAGTGACTGAATTCTCCGTCTCCACATAGGAGACCTGTGCTCTTGAATCTGTCTAGCAAGAGGTGGTACCCTGTGGTTAGGGGATTCCTTCCTTTTGCTAGCTTGCAGAAACAGACCACCCCATATGCTGTCAGCAGCAGCATCCAAAGGCAGCACTGCTCGCCATTTTGACAACTGTCTTCAGGGCTGGAGCCAGTGCTGAGTGGCTGGTCACTGTGGCTTATATGAAGATATTCTGTCTTGGATACACAACACAATAGTGGCTCCCGAGCCTGACTTCCCATTCCACACCAGTTCACCCACTCTCAATGTCAAGGCCAACTTCCATCCTGTTGGTCTAAGGTCTGTAAGGAACTGCAATGAGGTGAACTAGGTCTAGTGACATCTCTGCCACTGGAAAACCAAAGGCTGAGTACAATCGCTGGCAAGTGACCGCTCTTGGGAACTTTGACAAGAGTGACCAAGGAAGCTCTACCTTGCCAGCAGGGCTCTGCTTCACAGGACCTGCCAATCTCAGAGGCAGACTGCTGGAGGAAAGAGCATGGGGCTACAAGGGAATGCATCCCCACACTATTTCCAAATGAATGTTCTAGAGAGTAACAAAGTTTAGGTTTTACCTGGACTGAGTCTACCAGGTTGACCTCAGTCTGTGGGGAAGGCTTTGCCCTGGAGGAGATGGGAATGGGGGGGGGGGGGGGGGGTTGGGGGGAAGGTGAGGGGGACGGGAGGGGGGAGAACAAGGGAATCCGTGGCTGATATGTAGAACTGAATTGTATTGCAAAATAAATTAAAAAAAAAAGTTTAGGTTTATTTATTTTACTTTATGCACAAGAGTGTTTTGTCTGTGTGCGTCTATATGCACTATATGCATGCAACTCAACCTAGGTCCTCTGTAAAAGCGACAAGTGCTCTTAACTGCTGAGCCATCTCTCCAGCCTGAGAGCAACAAAGTTTAAATGCAATAAAAAGGATAAGAAGGGAGACACACATATAATAAAGGGGGCTGATGAACAGAAATAGGAAATGTTCCCGAAGGCTCTCAAACTACTGGCTTAGCTATCAGATCAGGACAAGACACTACTTGTCAACCCCCTGGGCTGCAAGGGCAGGAGGAAACTGAATCCTGAGCACCAAAGCAGGCCCAGAGCTTCACTCCACAGAGAAAGCCACACATACACCTTTCCATTATGGGAAAACAATGAGCCTGAGCCGCACAACACTGCAGGGGCCCCAGAGAACACAGATGTGGAAGCACTTACGCAGAAAAGCCCTATTTATTGACCCTGGTCCTGGAAACCTGTCCACGACAGAGGAAATGGGTGGCAAAGCCTGGGCTGTGGAGGCCGCAGCCCTCTACCCCCGTTTAACCAGTCAGTCGACTTCTCCTGTTTGTTTTTAATGGGGAATCTGACCAGAGAACGCTGCTACTCGACAGGGACAAGGGACACTTGGGATTTCCTGCTCAAAGCCAAATCTCATGGCTAGCCTGGGAATCTCTACCGACAGCTGCTGAGGAAGTCTCAAAACTGTCTTAAATGGTAAAACTGGGACGGAGGATACAGCGCCACTGAGGAAGAATTGCGGCTAAAACGGTTTACCTGACAGCGCCATGGCTCCGTGGGCAAGGGCACGTGGCCCCGAGCCTGACAACCTGAGTCCACTCACAGGACACAAACGGTGGAAGGAGTTGTCCTCTGACCTCCTCACGTATGCCGCGGCATGCAACGGCATCAAGTGCCCACACACAGACACACACAAAGTAAATAAATGATGTAATATGGAAAAAAGGTTTAACTCCAAGGCTGGAGAGATGGCTCAACAGTTAAGATCACTAGCTGCCCTTCCAGAAGACCTGGGTGGCTCACTACTTTCTGTAATTATAGTCCCAGGGCATCCGACATCCTCTTCCGGTCTTCATGGGCACTGGGCATGCATGTGATGCACAGATATACATGCAGGCAAAACATCCACACACAGAAGAAAAAGAGGAAGAGAGGAGGAAGATGGGGAGGAGGAGAAGGAGAAACCTTAAAAAATAATAAAACAGCCAGGCAGTGGTGGCACATGCCTTTAATCCCAGCACTTGGGAGGCAGAGGCAGGCGGATCTCTGTGAGTTGGAGGCCAGCCTGGGCTACAGAGTGAGTTCCAGGACAGGATCCAAAGCTACACAGAGAAACCCTGTCTCGAAAAACCAAAAAAATAAAAATAAATAAGGCCGGGCGGTGGTGGTACACGCCTTTGATCACAGAACTCAGAACGTGGAGGCAGAGGCATGTGAATCTCTGAGTTCCAGGCTAGCTTGGTCTATAGGGTAAGTCTAGGACAGTCAGGGCTACAGAGAGAAACCTTGTCTTGAAAAACCTAAATAAATAAATACATAAATAATAAAATAAAAAGAGCACTTGCTGCTCTTCCAGAAGACTTGAATTTGGTTCCCAGCTCCCACACAGAGCAGCTCACAACTATCTGTGAATTCAGCTTCAAGGAACTTGCACCCTCTTCTGGCCTTCTTGGGCAACCACTCTTACGTCTACATACCTACACACACATGCACATAATTAAAAATGAATCTTGGGGGTAGGCAGGTCATATGTCTATGGAAAAGAACCCATCTCAGCCCCAGGCCCTGGCTTTTTATGCTTATTTTCACCACTCAGACCCAAGCAACTAAGAAGAATTTAACAAAGTCCCTTTTAGTAAATGGAAGAGGTCTAGATGCCAACCTTTAGGCTTAGGCCCACAATAAGGATGCATATTTCACAGTTAAAAAAGTTAATGCAAGGGGCTGGAGAGTGGTTAAGAGCACTCAATGCTCTTTCAGGACCTGAGTTCAGTTCCCATGATGGGACAATCTGTAACCTAGCTTGAAAGGATTTGACATCCTCTTCTGGCCTCTGTGGGCACTACACCCTTGACACACACATGCATGGTATGAACACACTCATGCACAGAAAAATAACAAATAACAAAACAAAAGCCAATGTAGTCACTGGTGCATGAGATGCAGTTCCATGGTAGAATGCTTGCCTAACATGCACACAACCTTGGGTTCCACCCCCTGCACTGCTAAAATATAAATACACAAGGCTGGCCTTCACCAGGAGCTACTTTGACAGGAACAGCCTGCTTGACACTTACCTGAAGACAGGTCATAGAGCGCAGTCACGGACGTTATGAACTGGCAGCAGAAACGGGGACTGGCACTGAAGATCTGCTTCAACGTCTGAACCGAGCCTGGCACCAAATAGCAGTAGTCATCCACTAGGGCCCTAGCAAGTCTCACGCAGTAGACCACAGGCGTCCGCTGGAAAGAAGCCACAGTCCAAGTCACTGAGGAATCCTGAGCTAGCAGGTAACAGCAGCATATGAACAGTGAACCTACATACAGGAGTGGATGGAGGCACTTGGAGGACAGGGAGAGGGGTGTCCATGGAACCAGTCTGCCTCCTACCCACGTATGTAAGCACAGATCCACTAGGATGGCCATGCTCCTCCGCCTGCTATCCCAGGCTGCTCCTGCACTTGAGGGCAGAAGTGAGTCCTTACCACAGGGATCATGCAGCTGCAAAGCTGGAATATTTATGTAAACATTCTGAAGAGAAGCCAATTTTGGTAAGATGGTTGCTGAGGCCAGACACCACAGATCAAAGTTAACCATTATTACCACTCTGAGGTTCGGAAGAGTCTGTGAACTGTCACATGATGAAATGTTTGTTACAGCTGGGCATGATGGTCCATGCCTTAATATCAGTGCTAGGAAGTCAGAGGCAAAAGGAATAGGAACTTTAGCTAGCCTAAGCTACTTAGCTAAATTTGTCTTAAGATTTTTGGGTTTTTTTTGGTTTTTCGAGACAGGGTTTCTCTGTGTAGCCCTGGCTGTCCTGAAACTTGCTTTGTAAACCAGGCTGGCCTCAAACTCAGAGATTCATCTGCCTCCCAAGTGCAAGTTTTTTTTTGTTTTGTTTTGTTTTGTTTTTGTTTTTTGTTTTTTTGTTTTTCGAGACAGGGTTTCTCTGTGAAGTTTTGGTGCCCGTCCTAGATCTCGCTTTGTAGACCAGGCTGGCCTTGAATTCACAGAGATCTACCTGGCTCTGCCTCCCTAGTGCTGGGATTAAAGGCGTACCCCACCACCACCCGGTAAGATTTCATTTTTAATGGTATGTATACCTGCGTTTCTGTGTATGTGCATTCAAGTAGGCCAAAAGAGACGGACTGATCTCTTGGAGCTGGAGTTCCAGGCAGTTGCAAGCTGCCCGAACTGGTGCCAGGAACTGAGTGTGAGTCCTTGGTAACAGCAGTCTGTGCTCTCACCCCGCCCGCCAGGCAGGCTTTCTCTGGGTAGCTTTGCGCCTTTCCTGAAACTCACTCTGTAGCCCAGGCTGGCCTCGAACTCACAGGGATCCGCCTGCCTCTGCCTCCCGAGTGCTGGGATTAAAGGAGTGTGCCACCACTGCCCGGCCATTCTGTGCTCTTAACCACTAAGCCATCCCTGCATCCCTCTGCATACCATTAAGATCGAATCATTTTGCCTAAGAAACAGATTTTTCATTTATTCTGAAGATGAGGCATTTTTCTTTATTAAAAAATTTAATTTGGGGCCAGATGTGGTGTCACAAACCTTTAATCTCAGGAGGCAGAGGTAGGTAGATCTCTCTCTGAGTTAGAGGCCAGCCTGATCTACATAGTGAATTCAATATCAATCAAGGTTATACAGTAAGACCCTTTAAAAGAAAAAAGAAATGGGGGAGGGTGAGATGACTCAGCCAGTAAAGCTCTTGTCCCACAAGCCTGACAACTTGAGATAAAACCCCGGAACCCACATAAAGGTAAAAGGAGTTGGGGCTGAAGAGACAGTTCAGTACTTAAGAGCACTGGCTGCTCTCCCAGAGGACCCAGGTTTGATTCCCAGCACCTACATGTTGGCTCCCAACCATCTGTAACTCTAGTTCCTGGGATCTGAAACCGTCTTCCAGCTTCCTTGGCTGGCGCACCAAGCACACAGGAAGTGCAGACATACGTACAGGCAAAACACCTACACATAAAAAATACTTTAAAATCAATAAATAATAATTAAAAAAAATAAAGGTGAAAGGAAGCCAGGTGTGGTGGCCCACATCTTTAATTCCAGCACTTGGGAGGCAGAGGCAGGCAGATCTCTGAATTCAAGGCCAGCCCAATCTACAGAGGGAGTTCCAGGACAGCCAAGGCTACAAAGAGAAACCCTGTCTCCAACAACAGAAAATTTAAAAAAGGTGAAAGTAGTGAACTGACTTCACAAAGTTGTCCTGACCTCCAGAGATGTGCTGTGGTACAGGCAACCACACACACACATCATACACACACAATAATAATACAAATTTTAAATAAGCTGGGGGCGGGGGGAAGGCATATACCTTTAATCCCCAGCACTCGGGAGGTAGAGGCATGTGGGTCTCTGTGTGTTTGAGGCCAGCTGGTCTACATTTCAAATCAGACCCTGTTTCAAAAACAAAACAAATTGTAACCATTTACTACTGGGTGCATAAGAAGGCTACAATTCCAGAGCCAGGCACAGTGGTGCCTCTGCTCCTCAGGAGACTCAGGCAGAAGGGTCATGAGGTTTGAATCCAGCCTGGGTTACATACCAAGTCCTTGTTTCAAACCAACAAACGTTATCGTCCATAAAAAACGGGACAGGGTGTAGCACACAGGCAGCAATGATCGACTTCATCACACATGTGTAAAATACCTCTACTGACATCCAGCTACGTCCAAACTCTTGTTATCCTGTCTATGGAGACTCTGGGAAGTAAAACTACTTTGAAAACAGTACCTGGAGCCAGGAGGCCGCACATTCCAACACCGGGATCCGACACACAGCCACGGCCATGGAGACCAGCTTTCCCAACAAGCTCATCCGGCTGTCGTCGGCTTTGTTCCCTTGGGGGCTGAAAAGGGAGGAGAAAATGATCTGCCGCACAGAGTCCTTGCTTTGCTCCTGGAAATAACTGCACATGATTTCAAGAAGCTGGAGCTCCTGGAGCGAATTCAGTCTCTGTAAAAACAAACCCGGGAGAGAAGCTGTGAGAGATGGGGGCCTGCACCTGTCCCTTAGTTCCCACAGTAAAGGGTGGCTGCTCTTTAGTTCCCACAGTAAAGGATTCGGGGAGTGAATGCCTGAAATCCCAGCACTTACGAGGCTGAGGCTAGAGGATCTTGAGTTCTAGGCTGGCCTGCGCTACATAGTAAATAGTGAAGCAGTGTTTAAAAAAAACAAATTCTGTTTTTTTTCCCCCAGGGTGTACTTTTTCACCTTTCTGAACCCTTAAGAAAAAGCCGCGCATCTAATTAAGCAATATCCCAAAGGACTCAGGTTTGAAACTCTAGTGATGTTAAGTAAGTAGCCAACTCCCAAAATTCTTCTCCTGGATCCTTGGTAGGCGACTGTCACACGCCTGCCAAAAAGGCACGCGGCTGAGCATCGCCGCGGGACTGCAGGACCGGGGGCTGGAGGAGAGAGACCTCGGGGCGAGCGCTTGTCACCGAGCGAAGGCACGGTCGGGGCGGGCACCTTGGGCTGCGCGCCGCGCTCCTTGGGCACCTGGAACACGAACTCTTCCAGCAGCTCCACGGGGCCCTTGTCCACGATGGGCAGCGGCGCGCTCTGCAGCTGGCTGCTGAAGTAGATGTCCAGGTGGTACAGCACCTCCTTGGCGGCGCTAAGCGCGTCGCGCCGCAGCAGCGAGTGGCGGATGTCGCTCATGGTGCGGCCGCCGCGTCCCCGCCGCGCGTCCCACTTCCGCCCGGAGAGACAAAGACGCGCGACCAGCCTGGGCTCCGACGCGGGCAGGGCCGCGGCTCCCGCCCGCCCGCCGCTACCTGGCGCCGACCTGCTCAGGGGGCCATCGTCGTCGTCGCCGCCTCCGTGGGCCAGCGGGCGCCCTGGGTCCGACTGCGGCGCCGCCCAGAGCCGCGGGAGCCGACGCCGCTCGGCCGAACCGGCGGCGGAATGCCGGGGCGGCGACGGCGGCCCGCAGGGGCCAAGCTCAGGCCGCGGCCGCGCGCTCTCGTGGGCGCCCCCTGGCGGTGAGGTCCGCACGGGCAAGCACGAGGGCACGAGGCCCCGCCCCGCCGTCTTGGCAAGTCTTTCTGATCCTCCACCATGTACGCAAACCTTTTCGTGCTCCCCACCAACCAGGGCATGTCCTTAACCCCGGGGGCTACTAGGATCGATGATGCTGGTAAGCACCACCGCCCAACCCCCCACCTAACTCCCTGCTCCCACCTTCTGTTCCCAGAGCCAATGTTTCCAAACTCTCTCCTGAGTCGGGGCCCCTCTTGACCCCTAGGCTCTAGCCTAGCCCAGGAGGACTATGGGAATCTTAGCACAAGGTGCAGCCCACATGCTTCCTGCTCCTGAAAACCCTACCACCCTACAACAAACCCCCACTCCCACCCCAAGATTTTTATACAATCTATGGGCAATCATTTACACTTTATATTGGAGATTTTTTAACATAGCCGAAAAAGTCTTGAATGTGGCCCACAAGTACAACAATGAATGAGAGGCCTATTGCTGCCGAAGGTAGACCTAGGTGAGGATTTGGTTAAGGTGATGAAGAGCCCCTGGACGAGAACATACTAGGGAAAGAGTGCCCCACGGCACAACCCTGAGACGTGGAACTACCAAGATCCTGTTATACATCCAGGAATAAGGCTGTATGGTCCTTGTTCAGATGAGAGAATGCAGTGAGAGACAAAGGTCTCCTGGTCACCCATAGCCTTGGACAGGACATCTCTCGACCCTCCTGACACTATTGGTTCTAGTAGAAAACCAGCGAGCGGGCAATCTGCCTCGGCGCTGGGAAAGGTACACGGAAATCAGCAAGCCTCCCTTCCCTTTGCTTCCCCATCAAAAGCCCATTCACACTCACACAGCGGAAACCAACACAAACAATGCTTAGAAAATAAATATCCATATGTACAAATAGATGTGTACTGTATTCAAAAGAACACTTCCCATTCTATTTCTTCTTTTTCTCATAGCAGGGGATGGCAGGTAGAAAGATCTCTTGAAGGTTGCTCCAAAACCCATGGGAGTAAATGTTCTGATAGATGTGAGGCTCAGCTGATGGGGACCAGGCCACTAGAGGGCAGTGCTGGCACCAGGCCCAGTCACCTCTACACCACTCATTTGTGGTCTGGTTAGTGGCAGCTAGGTACAGAGCGAAGCACAGGTAGCCGGCCAGGAGCAAACTCAGTACCATGACAAAGCCCAGCAGGAAGATGATCCTTGGGAAAGCCAGGAACAGGTACTGGGGACAGAAAAGCATGAGTGTTAGCAAACAGACTATGACACCTGTGAGCAGCAGCCCTGACTCAATGTGAACGCTGAGCCACCGCCTCAGTTCACCCCCTGCATCACATCTGACCCACCAGGCAGTACACACAGCTCAGAGGTACAGCAATGCCGTAGCATTCATGAGGCCCTGGGTTCAAAACTCTCTTTCTCTCCTCTCTATGTCTCTCTCTGTCTGCTGAACATAGATATGAGTCACAATCAAAACAGAAAAACAGCCCAGGAATAATCCTAGTGTGTGCAGGAGTTTCTTGCCGAATAACTGAGGTGTTCACAACACAGGCGAAAGACGACTCAAGACACAGCCCTTTGCCAGTCCGATATTTACAAGATAAATAGTGAAGGCAGTTTATGCATCAAACTAAAATCCTGCAAGGCAGACCAGTGTCTCTCTTTAAACCACTGAGCACAAAACACCAGCCCAAGGACACTGATGGCAGCACCAGCCCTCCAGACTCTTCTTACGCACAATGGTGTGGGCTGGTGAGCACAACACTCAGAAGGCTGAAGCAGGGGAATGGGAAGTTTCAAGACAGCCATGTTGCAGATACCTTGTCTCAAAAAAAAAAAAACAAAACAATAACAAATCAAATGACACGCATAAAGAAGAGTAAAACTTTGGGTCTGTCACACTACAGCACATCAAGGAGCCATTAAAAATCAAGTCAGATTGTGGAATATTGCCCAATGAGACAGGTAAGCCTCAGGGCTCTCACTGATTCATTATGTGAGTACGGCACAATGATGGCGAGGGTATAATAAAAGCAGTCTGGGAGTCCATGCCCAACTTATGTGCCAACTAGTAGATGGACTACCTCTGGGAACTGAAACTGGGGGTAGGGGTCTCACATTGCAGTTTTCTTTTAAACACTATTTTTTTTAATCTCTGGGTGTGAAAGTTCAGGTGCTCCTGTGCATGTAGAGATCAGAGAGCACGGTCGGGCATCTGTCCTTGCTTTCTGCCTTGCCTGAAGTGGTGTCTCATGGCTTGCCGCTGCATTGCCACGTTAGCCTGGTCTGGCAGCTTCCGGGATTCTCCCGTCCATGCCTCCCAAACTCTCACCTAGCTGCAGGAGTGCACTACCACACTGTGCGTGGGTTCTGGGATCCAAACTGAAGTCCTCAGGTTAGTGTGACATGTTCCTTACCCAATGAGCCACCTAGATCCCCAAGCCAAATATGACTTCTTGGTTATTAGAATATCATGTTATTTTTATATAATGCAGGGTGAAAAAATTTAGAAAGATTTCAATGTTTTTAGAAGTCAGAAGAGGAAAAACCACTCATCAAAACTTTTGATGAGGGCAATTGTGTAGCTCAAGTCACAGAGAGGAGAAACATGCGAAGGATGCCTCAACTTTCTTTTTTTTTTTTTTTGTTTTTTTGTTTTTTTGTTTTTTCGAGACAGGGTTTCTCTGTGTAGCTTTGCGCCTCTCCTGGAACTCACTTGGTAGCCCAGGCTGGCCTCGAACTCACAGAGATCCGCCTGGCTCTGCCTCCCGAGTGCTGGGATTAAAGGCGTGCGCCACCACCGCCCGGCAACTTTCTTATACCAAAACTCCTACACCAACTGGGCATGGTGGTAATATATGTATTCCCAGCACTTGGGAAGCTGAGGCAGGAGGATTGAGTATCTGAGCAAGCCTGGGCTACATAGTGATACCCTACCCCAAAACCAACCAACCAACCAACTAAACAAACAAACCCTTTAAAGGTAGGGAGGTAAAAGTATTGATGAAGATATAAAGAAACTAGAAGCCTTATGTATACACTGCTTGTAGGAGACATTCGGGGCTGCTGTTCAAGTGTTTAAAAGCTCCCACATGTAATTCAACTCCTAAGCACACACCCAAGAGAAGACATGTTGACATGAAATGTGTATGCACTGTTCACAGCAACATTACTCAAAAATAACCAAAAAAATGGAATAGCCAAATATCTGCCAACTTCTGAACATATAAAATATACTATATATAATATAGTATTGCTTGGCCACAGAAAGGAATGAAGAACAGACTCCAGCTACAGCATGTACCTTCAGAGCACTGTAAGGAGCCAACGCATAGGGACACATACTGCATGACTGAATCTATGAACTGGCCAGTTCAGAGGTTCTCAACCTGTGGGTGAAGACCCCTTTGGGGTCAAATATCAGGTATCTCGCATATCAGATTATTTACATTACAATTCATAACAGTAGCAAAATTACAGTTATGAAGTAGCAACAAAAATACTTTTATGGTTGGGGGTCACCACATGAGGAACTGTGTTAAAGGGTCGGAGCATTGGGAAGGTTGAGAACCACTGGTCTGGTTTAAGGAAATTCATAAAACAAATGAATGATTCCTATGGCCAGGGAGGATGGAATGAGGAGTGTTTTTTCAGGAGTAATAAAATGTTCTCAAATGTAAAAGTGGTAATGGGAACACCACCCTGCTACCCTAACACCACTGACTTGTACATTTACATAGCACTGAGTTTGATCCCCAGCTCTGCATAAACCAGGCTTAGTGGTACACACCAGTTATCCCACCACTCAGGAGTGGGAAGCGAGAGGATCAAAAAATCAGAGCTAGCCTGATGTATATGAGACCCTTCACAATAAATAAATTATATTAGTTTAAAAAAATATGTCAGCTAAGTGTAATGGCACGTACTTTTAATCTCAGAACTCTGAAGAGAGATAAACGCAGATCTCTATGAGTTCAAAACCAGCCTGGTATACATACCAAATTCCAAACCAGTCAGTCAGAGACTGAAGAAAATAAAAACAAATAAATAAATAAAGGACCTAGAACCCAAGATTGGGAGCTCAACACCCCCGGGGATGAACCTACTATTATTATTTTGCTAAATGGACACAGTATCAAACTACCCTCTAAATTCATATTTCTCTACCCATAGGTTAGTGAAGATCTCAGGCCTCATCAGTGGACAGTGGCTAGCGCAGTCAACTGGTCAAAGTGCAGAGAGCCTGGGGAGTGCTCAGCCCTAAACAGGACAGAACCCCCCCCTCTCTCTTTCACACACACACACAGACACACACACACACACACACACACACACACACACACACACACACACAGAGGACAGGAAGGATTGGAGTTAAACAGTGTCTTCTGGACATGACAGGATCATGATCTCATAGCAGGTGAAGTTGTTTGCACAAGATCAAGCCAGGCAACATTCCAGCATAGAGCAGGGAGGGACACAAGCCCCCACCCCTAATGAGGAGCTGTAGATGGTTGATGGCTTTTGAGGGAGGGGGGCAGTCAGTTTCCTTTAAGGGTGTGGCTCCTGGGGGTTGACATGACCCAGTGAATGACCTCACCACTACGAGTATATGGGCAGCACAAACTTGACCCCATGGGTTTAAGAAAAGAAAAGAGAAAGAAGGACACAAAGTTGGGAGGGGCAGAAAACACTGTATGTGTGTATGAAATCCTCAAAGAGCTAATCAAAATAATGGAGTTTTTAAAAAGAATAAAAGAGTAGCTTTACGTTTTTCCCTGGGACCCAATGCAAATTTACCTGAATAAGAAAGACTGTGTCCACAGACTGGAAATGCCCCAAGTCATCAATGTAAGTTTCCTGGTACAGGTCCGACACTGCCACTAGTCGGACCAGAAAGGCAGTGCTCAGGATGGCTATGGTGGCAGCCGATGCCGTCAGTGTCAAGAGGTAGATGAGGAAGTACCTGGTGTTCCAGGCCCCAATGCAGTTGTTCACCCAAACACAGTGATGATCGAATCGGTGCACGCACCAATCACACACCCCTGCAAAGAAAGGAAGGTGGTACAGCCGGTCTGTCCTTGCTGAGACAATGAATCAGGCACACTCCCTGAGACCCTCACTGGAGCATGGCGGCTGTTGTCACCAAGCTTTTAGAGCTGTGGCTTCTGAAGCTGGAAGATGGCTCGGGGTGTGAATGCTTGCTAGGCAAGCATGGCAGGTTCACACCCCCAGCACGGACAGATGCCAGGCGGGTTTGCAGCCTCCCTGTAATCGCAGCAGGCAGAAGGCCACAGGAGTCCCTGAGCAAGCTGGCTACCTAGACTGCCTGAACGAATCAGAGAGCTCTGGTTCAGGCAAAAGTCCAGCCGTCAATATATAGGGTGAAGAACGATAGAAGACTCCCAACACCAACCTCCGGCCTCCACAAGCACAGGCCACACATCTACCCACACACACGGGAACATGTGCACGCACACACGTGTATGTATTTAAAGAAGAACTGCAGTGTGTAACTACTATAGTCACTGAGCACCATGTAGGGACAAGAAAAATCTGAAAAAATAGTTTCTTGACATTAACAAATTTAGTGGTTTTTCACTTATGCAAAACTCCTGAATGTAATACAAAACTGTGAACACATGGTGGCACAAGAGTGAGTCTACTACTTTTGTGGACAATTTGCTTCCCTTTTCCTGGAGTTGGGGATGAACTCAGGCCTTGCACTTTGTTAGGTGTGCATTATACAACCTATGACCCCCATGTCAGCCCACTG